GAAATGAGAGTCTCTCTGTGGGCAATTTCCTGTTAATACCCACAACATAGACAACTGGTACTTTCCACAAAGATCTAGCCTTCTGCCTATGACCACATAATGTCTGACCTTTCCACTCTGGTTGTGTATATTCTAAGGCTGTAAATGAGGGACAAATCATCCGCTCACACATACCCACTAGTGGCATTTGTAAGGGAGATGTAGGAATGGTAGAGCACTGGGAGAGAACTGAGCCCAAGCTGCTATCACCAAATTCCAGAGACTGTGTGGCTTGTAAACAACAGAAATTCATTTCTCATAGTTCTGGAGGCTGGGAAGTCCAAGATCAAGGTTCTGGCAGATTCAGTGTCTGGTGAGAGCCTATTTCTTGACTTATAAAGGATTGTCTTCCTGCTGTGCCCTCACAAGACTAGAAAACTCTCTGGGGTCTCTATAATGTGGGAGCTAATCCCATTCATGGAGCTCCACATCATTCCCTAATCTCCTTCCACTAGATTATGTGTCAAAATATGAATTGAAGGTCGAGTAGGGGGCCCGGGACTGGACACAGACATTCAGTACATAGCAGAGAGTGTAAGAAGGTTCAGGACAAAAAGAGCAAAAATAGATTTTAGCATTTATGGTGCCTCGGTAATTAACAGAAAGAATGGGAAAGCTGCAGCTAGAATTCACTCCCTATTTGGCTAGACTGCTCTTACTTCATGGATCATGTGAGATTTCTAACAGCTTTGCAGAAATGCTATCTCAATGTGAAACGATTCCATAATAAAGTGCTCATCAAAATCATAGCCTGAGGACAGCAGAATCTTTTGGGATGCTTGTTGAAATGCAGATTCCAGGACTCCAACCCAGATTGACTTAATCAGAATCATAAGCATGGGCCCAAAGAAATGTGCCTTTTGAATAATCTCATGTGGCTTTTAGGCCCTTCAACATTTAAGAACTCCTGCCAAAACCCTGAAGCGGAGGCAAGCCCAGAGTCTTGAACTTTCTTGCCTTTAAGAAAAAAAAAATTAAATCAACAGAAATGAGAGCATGGTAGCTTTGTAGGGTTCTTTAAAAGTCCTCGAGAACTGCGTGTACATGAACTGTAATCAGACACAGAAGGAGAAAGCTGTGATAGGAAAGGTTTGCACTCAACCCACAGAGCTAGCTGAATGAGATCAATAATCTTTGCCAAAACCTAATTCTGTGGAGCTGCCATGAATAACCAAGATTTTAAAGCCCCCACAGAACAGACAGGATCGCAGCCAATTCAGGGAGTCTTTTCAATGTCAATGTCACCTTTTGTTTAAAGGAGCTGCCTGTAAGGGGGCCCTTCTAAATGAGAAACATTATTTACAGAATGCCGAAGAAATTCTAATACCAATATATGTATTCCTGATATGCTGTTGTGCAGTTTGGACAAAATTTCCAGGGGAAGAAGTCTCCTGAAACATTTTCTATTTAGGCTTGACCAAGAACAGTGTTTAAGGAAAATGCCTTATTTATTATTTGGTTATAATAGGGATACTCTAAGAAAAACCAGAAGAGTGGTTTTTCTAACAATTACCAGAGGTATTCTAATACTCAATGCTCTCAAGAATTTTGACCTAACAAGAAATCCTAAGAGGTAATCCACGCCATCAAGCTTTTCACATTATTTTTCACATTATTTCACTGTTTCACATTATTTCTTCATAAAATCACCAAGGGAGTTTTAATTTGCTTGCTCTGTTCTGAATCAGGCCAAAGACTGAATCCTGTTTCCTCATTCTGGTTTCATGGGGGCGAGGCCCAGGTGATTCCAATATCTCAAGACACCCATTTATAGATAATGTAATAGAGGTCCCTTAAGATACTAGCAGAAAATAAATTCTCAATAATTCCTATGTTTACATTCTTAATACTACAAAGGTTTCTAAATTTAGACAGGATTTTCTACCTTGCATTTATTATGGAAATAAAGTTTACTGTCTTATATGTGGTCTGTTGTCGTGCCTCCAAACAATGACAATAATAACATTAAAGACCACCAATCGTTGATCACCATAACAGAACAATGAAAAAGTCTGAAATGTTGCAAGAATTGCCAAAATAGGACAGAGAGACATGAAGCAAGCACTTGCTGTGGGAAAAATTCACCAATAGACCTGCTTAGTACAGGGATGTCACAAACCTTCGCTTAGTAAAAAATGCATTATCTGTCAGGCCTCCCCTGGTGGCGCAGCGGTTGAGCGCTGGCCTGAGAGGCTGCCCACAGCCTCTGTAGCGCCGGTTCATTCCCCGGCTGCCGGCGAGGGTCCCACCAAAAAAAAAAAAAAGCATTATCACACACAACAAAGCATGTCACACACAACAAAGCAAAGCACATGAAGACAAGGTATGCCTACATTTGACTGTGTGTCTTGGCCACGTCCACCTTGCCTTACTCCCTGTCTGCAGCCAGAGGACTCCCATCCCAGTGGCTTTGCTCCAGTGTTTTATCTGATGTCCATTCCCACCTTCCTCCTTCACCCCCAAGATACTTTCTACGCATCCTTGCGGACTCTGGCTTAGGTCTCCACTCAAGTGGCACCTCCTGAAGATGTTGTCTCTGACTTTCTATAGTGACATAAATGAAGACCACTCCCTGCCTGGGTTCTTCCAAAGCCTCTGTGAGGGGCTCTGGCAATGTTTTCATGTGGTCATGTTTTTAAAATAAAATAGCAGAATAATTTGAACCATAATTGTTTCAGACGCTCCACTTTCAACTTCCTCCTGTCAAACTTCCTCTCGTGTTGGGTGGTTTGGAGTGAACGTGACTATTTTTCGGAAACAAGGTAAAGGGACATTGAGTCTGGAATACATTTTATTTTTTTTTATAAGATTTATTTATTATTTATTTATGCAAGAACTGGGGTACAGACCAGAGGCGTGGGAGGGTGAGAGAATTCACCAGAGACAGTGGGGAGCAGAACAGGCAGAACAACCGAAAACACTGCTGAGAGGAACAGCGAGAGAGACAGGAGAGGTCTGCTGTGACTTGTGGGTTGCTCCCTGGCTGGTTGGGAATCGAATCCACACTGCAGAGGCTGCGGACAGCTTTACAGCATGGTGCTCAGCACGCTGTGCCACCAGGGAGGCCCTGGAATACATTTTATTTGGGTTTAGGGGAGCATGAAATTTATGTAGTTATCAGTGTAGTAATGTAGCATCAGTCAGGGTTCACTCAAAAGAAAGAGAATCAGAAGTGATAACATACACTGATGATGGATAGATGGATGGATGGAAGATGGACAGGTTACCACTGTTAATAGGGGTATATTACAAGGACTTGCTTTATGCACTTGCAGCAGTCTACACAAGACTTTGTCTGAAATCCATTGGGCAGACAATCAAAAAGGGAAGTCAGTACTACCCTGGAACTGCAGGTTCTATAGCTATGAGTCACCCCATCCTAGGGAAAATCTAAGCACAATTTTAAGACCATTTAACTGATTAAATCAGGTCCAGCCAAGTTAACATCCCTACTTTAAGATCAACTGATAAGGGGCTCTATTCTTGCAATTCTATTCACAGGGCACCTAGATTCACATTTAAGGCAATAAGCTTAATAAAATTGATATTTTTAGAATACAAGAAAAATAAGAATGTCAGAAGTTAATTATTAAAAATAGTAATTGTCCTGAACTTACAATGCTTATAACTGCAAGCTTTTAAAACCTTATAATTTCTCAAGATTTTTTTCATGTTGAATAAATTTTCAGTTTTGTACCTAGCAATTTTGTATTCTTTTTTTTTTTTTTTTTTTTTTTTTTTTTTTTTTTATAGAGGCATGTTTTTATTTATTTATTTATTATATTTGTTTGTTTTGTTTATACATGCACTGGGTACAGTCAGAAGCGCGGGAGGGTGAGAGAATTCACCAGAGCCAGAGTGGGGAGCAGAGCAGGCAGAAGGACCGAAGTACACTGCTGAGGGGAGCAGCGGGTGGCAGGAGAGGTCTGCGCACCATGTGGGATCCTCCTCCGGTGGCCGGGGAGCAGCCGGGGATCGAACCGGCGCCGCAGAGGCCGCGGGCAGCTTCGCAACCCAGCGCTCAACCGCTGCGCCACCGGGGAGGCCCATGTATTCTTTTTCTTAAAGAGATCCCTCAAAAGGGTAATCTTCAAGTCCCACAAACCCTGGTTCTGCCATGCTAAAGCCACATCTATATCTCCCACTGCTTCATTGATCTCTTCAATGTATTTTGGATTGTGAATATGTGAGGGAATGACTGTATTAACACACCTTATTTAATCATTTTGTACTATACAAATGTATCAAGCCATTGCACAATGTTATATGTCAATTATGTCTTAATAAAGTTGGGGGAAAAAAACCTTACGCCTATTTCTACCAGTGCAACCACCAGGTTCACACAGGATCTTTTTGCATCTGGGTCTCCACTAGACTGTATACTTCTTGGAGACAAGGGATGCTTCTTGCCCACATTTGACTCTCCAGGAGCTAGTTCAATACCTGGAACATATATCAAATGTTTAAGAAACATCTGATGTGGGTAATATACAAACTGAAGGATGAGTGAGTACTGAAAAATGGATAAATCAAGAGCCTGCCAGTCTCTCCAGATAGCACCTTTATTTTTAGAGTTCAATTTACAGACTATTCACATTGTTTGAGTGCAACTAGGGAAAACGTGCTTAGATTTTTTTTTTCTTTTTGAGAACAGAAATGGCAGATTTAATGAGTGCCTTGGAAGGGAGTATGGGCGGGACAGGAGAGATCATCTGTGCCAAAATATTCTTAATTTTATCCTAATATTCCAGCTGCTGAATTTTGATGGAAACCTGAAGCCAGAGCAAAGCTGCTTAGGAGAACCGTTAAATATTTAACCCCCAGAGAGAATTTCTGGTTAAAAAACAAACAAAATTACAACTGAAAATGCATAAAATAAACAAACCAAAACTTGCTCTTCTCAATCCTCTTTGCCCTCTCCAAAAAAAAAAAAAAAAAAAAAAAAAAAAAAAAATCCCTGATATTTCAGTTTTGGATTTGGATAGATCTGCAGATACAGATGACTTACATGTTTAAGGAGATAATATGAAAGTGAAATATACTACTCAGCATTCCGCCGAATACACTGTTTCTTGAAGAGATAAGACATGGATGTCTTAGATATACGCTGTTTGAAGATTTTCTAGAAAACACAGTTCTCAATAAGAATGAAAGTGACTTGTGTAAAGAATTTGTAAACCACACTCATTCATGTTTCTCACCTTATTCCATGTCCCTAGTATTTGTTGATTCTTGAGTACACACACAAACACATACACACACACACAGACATAGTAAGGGATTAACTACATGTTGCTTTATGCTGCAGCCATTGTTGTCATTGGAACTTCTTCAAATGAAACATATTTTCTTACCAGGAAAATGAAAAGCATTTTGTTTTCTATTGTTTGAGATGTGAGAAGTTGTTTGTGCTCAACAGCCTTTTTCTACAATTCCCTATCTCCACTTCCTGTTTCTACCTGTTACCTATCTAAGTTGGGATATTAGGAACTCTATCCTACTTTTACCCAATACGCTGCTGTTTTATTGAATTATGGATTTTTTTTTAATTTAGCTATTTTCTTCCAGAAAGAAAGAGGTACAATTACCTATGGAGACCACGTTTTACATACAATTTGGGAGCCTTCACAGACCCTTTCACACCATCCATGGAGTTTTGCCAATGAACTCAGGTAAAAAAGGCCTGCCATTCAGCAATGCCTTGAGAAAGGCAAGGATGAGCTGGCAGTGTGGTACCTGTGTGAGGTATGAAACCGCCAAAGTATTTCACAGTGAACATGAAGCTTTATCTCAGACAAAATTCTTAAGCACAAAGAAATGACAAAATAATTCCCAATAATAGTGCCTTTGATTATTGAATTCTGGGTTGAGAGATGGTTATGGGGGAAATTTGCAAGTTGTTATGAAACACCTTTTACACATAGTGTTTTAGCATTATTATCTTTTTTCAAAGAAATAAAGGGTTTAATTTAAAGAATTCCTCTATCAATAATATGGTTTGCTTTAAGAAAATGGTTAAGTATAAAGTAAATAGATAAATAAATCTCATTTAAAAGAAAATTTACACTTGCCAGGATGACCAAAATACAAATCTGCTAAAAACAGATGTGTTTGAGGTGTATTTCACATTATCTCAGTACATCCAGTTATGCAAATTTACATTTTTATTTCACATCTTTGCATTCCTGATATACAAGTAACAGGACAAAGAACACATTTGCAATACTCAACCTGGAACACCCTGTTTGGGGAAAAACAAGATTTTCAGCTACAGTATTCATTCTGCACATGTACAAATACAATGGTGATACCTGGAGTGAAAATCTATATAGGTAAAAGAAAAAAAAAAGGGACTAAATTTTTATGCCACATGAGGTTATTGATACTTGATTTTTAAATCATCTTCTATGACTGAATTACAATTCAATAGGCAAAATTTCTTTGTGAACTCCTTCACCTATTTCAGAAAATGGAGGGTGGATGCTTCTGAGGTTCTTTGCTCTGCATGCAGTTACTAGCAGCTACACACCAATGATGTTCAAATGTTGACATTGCTGTGTTGTGTATTTACATGAGATATTTTTTAAAGTGGTAGTCAATATTCCTATCCCTCTTTTGTGAAAAATCTCTTGCCAAGCTAGAAAATGGTATTTTCTAATTTTTTTTTTCAATTAGACAAAGAAAAAATGACAGACCAGCACAACACAGTACTAATTCTAAAGGAAACAATCACATTGAATGAAAGACCCTAATATTTGAGCTACTATTTTAGGAAGCTCAAATATATCTACATCACATGTTGATATTAGATGACTGCATGCTCATTCTGTTCAATGTTGCCCACAAGATCTTTTGTGTCACTAGTTCCTGGACTCAATCTACTGTTAAAATAGAGAGTGTTTTCAAAAGTGCCTTCTGGAGGTAAGGGTACACGTCTTTTCTTATAAAAGTAGTAAGCAGCGAAGCCAGCACCAGCTAAAATCAGGAAGATCACAAAGACCACGACACCTGGCGTGCTAGAAGATGGCTTGGGAGGACTCATCTTCCTTGAGTCAGCTAAAAATAAATAAATTCATTTTTAAAAATGAAGGAAGGCAGGTCACAAAATGCTAAAGACAACAATACAATTTCCTTTTTTGAAAAGCCAAAATGCATGAATATTCTTTCAAGTGACACTTGTCAAAGAGAAATGCAGAACATGAAAACAATAGTCCACAGGACATGGAGAATTATCTTAACATTTGTGTTATTATTCAGTTGCAAGAATACTTAATCTACCTCTGAGGCATTGAGCTAATGAGCATTTTAAAATATTTATGCCTGTTTCAAAATAATTTAAATAAGCTTACAAATGCATTATATGAAGATACATATATAATAATAATAATAATGATAACAATGTAAAACAAGTGTGAAAATTAGGAAAACAGAAAATAAGGGTAGTGGCAATTTGAACTCATAGGTACAATGAGTTAATAAATAGCTCCCCTGAAGTTCAGGAGGGGGTTACTGGAAGCCATAAATCTCACTTGGCATTTTTTAGCTGTCATTAAAATGAGTTATAGAGGATAAGTTACCTGATTCAAGTCATCTACAAAATAAAAATTGAAAATTTTGCTCAAAAAGAGAAAAGAAACCCACAGAAATTCCTGGGGGAAATTTCTTCCATCTTTGTAACAGAGGAAGGAATGTCTTCAAAAACATCTTAAGGTAAAAACGACAACATGCTTTTCTACAGTATCATTCAAGGGAGGTTGAAGATACAATGACAAGGGCTAGTGCAGCTTAAGCAATTCTGCTGAGAGTGCAGGATGTGTAGGGAATGCTTAGTATGATTTTTTAAAACAAACTGTATTGATGTGTTTCTAATAAAGAACTTGAAATTTTATAATGATCTTACCTTTTGTTGTAACTAAAGTGTGAGTAGGTTCAGCATCAACAACTGTAAAATAAGAAATTCATTAAATACATATAAAACATAATAATTGCATATAGTTAGTATCTTTCATTTCACATGGAATCTTACACATTTTGTTCATGATAAATATGAGATGACATAACATGATATGGTTGGATAGATACATTTGGTTCATGATGATACACTATATAGATTGATAGGTGATTGATAGGTTGGTAGGTAGGTAGATTGAACTTATTTAGCAGCATCTTCTGGCTATCTGTTGAGTTTGAATCTATTCAAAAATCTGAAAATATGATACTCTGAGTTGCATTTAAGTCCTTGATACTCAGCCTCAAGATCTACCCAATCTACCCACAAATAATGAATTCTAGAAATTGGTTCACTGCATTCTGAAATATTACAAGGCATTTGAAAGAACAGTAAAGTGAGACTCCATCATTGTGCTAAAGGCTGTCATATCTCAGAACCAAGTTTTGAAAGACTAAAATAATAAAATCTACTGGGCATGGAGTAGTAGTTGATCTAACTCATTTATTTAAATCATGATCTACTTAATAATCTGATCTTTTGGGAAGGCAAGAGTGGAATGTCACAAAAATAGTAAAGTCTACATAGCATCACATCATGAGCATTTAACACTATTAAATTCCCCCATTACCCATCTTTATATGGTATGCCACTCAATCTCAGAAGAAAACTTAACTGGTCTTTCATGATTTATTTTGTAATAAATTCTGATTCTTCTCCATAATGCTGGCCCCTTCTAGTTCAACAGGGAAGACTGATCACCCCTTCCCTCTCAAGCCACACTGTTTTGTAAGCTGGCTGTCCCAAATGCTTGCAACTTTGCATATCCACAGGCATGGATATCTAATGATGTTGATGTACCAAAATCATTATGACACCTAAGCAGGCAGAGTGTTTCATGCTTACTCACATCTGCAGACTGCAATTGATCACTAGGGCTGACTGGGTTTTTCCCATGTATAAGGGGGAAGCTTGCAAAGGACTTACAATGAAATTATAATCCCATACCTGACATATTAATATTAGAAAGAAATGATGGCCTATGAACACAAATACCATAGGACCAATTTTTACTTACTTTTGGGTCTTTTACAAATATATCCTTTGTAGGATGAGCAGTGAATGTTTTTCCAAAACCCAGTAGCTGCAACTAAAGCTACACAATCATTTCGTTCACCAGAGGGATCCCCTGTGTTCCAGTTGACAAAAGAAACTGGATTGTTGTTTATCCAGAGCCACATTCCTAATGAACAAATAAAGACAATAGAAAGAGAATTTAAAAATAATCCATCTTACAATAAATTCAATTTATTCATGCTAAATTTCTAAGCATATTATTTTACATTACAGTCGTTGTTCATCACCAGATTTTATAGGCAAGATTACAATGACTAATTACGAGTGAGGAGGAAACTAAGACTATATTTCTTATATAGCTTTAGTTGAAATTTTAGTCCCTATTATTCCAAATGTAATTTACCCTTCTCTAATTTTTTTTCTAGCATATAGCTACAGTCTTTGAATTAGCAACTTTCAAGAGTGAATAATATGTGAGTCATTTAAAATTTCAGTTCCTATCGCATAAGAAAGTATAGGTTTGATTTTTCAAACTTCTCACATATTAATCATTATTTAAGGCAAGACTTTATGGAGTTGAAAACTGGTCTTACATACAACATTTTGAAGTATTACCTTCAACATTTCTGTACAATCCTATCCAAAAATTGGTTTTGCTTTGAAGTGGCTCAATTCGATAGGACAGAAAACTTGATTCAGCAGCATTTTCAATGGAAGCCAAAGAAGAACCTACAAATTATAAAAAATAAATATGACAGAAGTATACTTAAATAATTGAAAATATTTTTTATGAACACAGTATTTATATTAAGAGCAATAAAAAGCATGCCAACATTTCCACTTAAGGGAAGAATTTCAAAGAGTGGATATTCGCCTTCTCGAAATTTCAGCTTTCATTCTGAAAATATGATTTTAAAGCATCATTTGTGTACAGGAACTGAATGAGTCACTGTAGGAAATGCAAAGATGTGTAGATTATATCATATGCCTAAGAAGCTTATGCCAGTGGGTAGAAATGACTAAAGAGTACAAAGGAATATAATTGAAGCAGTAACAGGGACAAACTCCTTAACATAAGTCCTAGCAATGTTGGGTTTTTTTTTTTTTTTTTTTGAGTTAACACCAAAAGCAAAGAGAGCAGAAGCAAAAAATAAAGATATGCGACTACCTCAAAATGAAAGCTTCTGCAAGACAAAGGAAATCAACAAAATGAAAAGGCAACCTATGGAAAGGGAGAAAATATTTGCAAAGCACAAATCCTCTAGTGGGGTTAAAATCTAAAATATACAAACAATTTATAAAACTCAATAACAAAAGAAAAAAATTTAATAGACAAAGGACCTAAATGGCTATTATCAAAGAGTCAAAAAAGAAAATATGCTAGAGAGATGTGGAGAAAGGGGAACGCTATGCACTGTTGGAGGGAATATAAACTAATATAGTCTCTAGGGATAATGGTATGGAGTTTTCATAGGAAATTCAAAGCAGAATTACCAGTTGATCCAGAAATACCATATCTTGGTTATACCCAAAGAAAATGAAATCACTACGTTGAAGAGATATCTCTGTTCCCACATGTGTTGCAGCATTATGCATAAGAGTCAAGGTATGGAAACAATCCAAGTTCCCATTGGCAGATAGATGGATAATGTAACACACACACACACAGACACACACACACAGAGGAATATAACTCAGTCTTTAAAAGTCTGCCATTTGTAACAACATTGATTAACCTGGAAAGCATTATGCTAAGTTAAATAAATCAAACAGAGATAGACAAGTACTGCATGGTATCATTTATAAGTGATTTTTTTTTTAAAGTTGAACTCATAGAAACAGAAAGTAAAAAGTTAGTTGCTAGGGGTCAGGGGTAGAGGAAACAGGGAGAAGTTTGTCAAAGGGTACAAACCTGTTATAAGATAAAGCAGGTCTTAGGATCTAGTATTGTATAATACGGTCACTATAGATGAAACATTTTTGCATTCATTGAAATTTACTAAGAGACTAGGATTTAAATGTCCTTACAAAATAAAACTGAGATGTAGGGAAATAAGTTAGGTGATAATGTGCTAGGTAACTTGATGGGAAAAATCCTTTAACAATGTATATCAAATCATCACATCATACACTTAACTGTGTATCAGTTATACCTCGGTAAAGATGAGAAAACTAAATACAAAATTAAGTCAAAACTTGAGGCTGACTTTTGAAAGAACCTAAGGGTTGAATGAAGAACCCTGGTAAAAATAATTCATAAAATACTCAGTGGGGGGCCTCCCTGGTGGCACAGGTGGTTGAGCGCTGCATTGTGAAGCTGTCCACAGCCTCTGCAGCATGGGTTCCATCCCAGCCGGCCAGCGAGAATCCCACATGGCGCAGCAGACCTCTCCTGTCTCGCCCACTGCTCCCCTCAGCAGTGTATTTCGTCAGTCTGCCTGTTCTGTTCCCCACTCTGGCTCTGGTGAATTCTCTCACCCTCCTGTGTATCTGGCCTGTACCCTGGTTCTTGTATAAAAAATAAACAACTCTTTAAACAAATACTCAATGGGACTTAAACAGATTTCTAGATACAGCCTGAAAAATTAACTTCACTTGACATTTTTATTTGGGGGAGGGGGAATTATCCATCTATGACAGATCTATTTGGATTTTGTTTTGTTTTTCTTCACAAGTAAGATAGCTGGACTGAAATGGCTCATTGTAAAACTTGAGTTTTTTCAGTGATAAGGTGTGTCTACAACATTCTGGATAACTGAAACTAAGAATTCAAACAATGATTAATATTAGGGCAGAAAGTAAGAAAGACTTGTTCAGCAAATGATTCTTTCCTACTGGAATTCTTCATAATTTTGAGGCTGTAATATTAGAAATTACATTTAGGGGCATGTTAACATCATTCTGTTACAATACAAATTAAGAAAAACAAACAGGTATTTTTCTATTCCTCGCCTTTTTTTTAAGATTTATTTATTTATGCATTTAAGAGCTGGGGTCCAGGCCAGAGGTGCAGGAGGTTAGCGGATTCACCAAGAGAGTGGGGAGCAGAACAGACAGATTGAATGAAATACAATGTTGAGGGGAGCAGAGGGCAAGACAGGAGAAGTCTGTTGCACCATGTGGGTAGCTTCCTGTCCGCTGGGGACTGAATTCATGCTGCAGAGGCTGTGACTGCTTCATAGTGCTGTGCTTAACCCCTTGCACTACTAGAGAGGCCCTATTCCTCACATTCTTAAAGTACAGTGTTATCAGTATTGTGGTAATCCAGAAAAGGCAATCATGGGATTTCCTTACAGTAAATGTGGCACTTACCCATTCGAAGACATTCCAGAGATGCCTGGCCCCAGTTTCTTGTATATGAAGACTCAATATAGTAGCAGTGACCATGGAAAGGAATCCAGGCTGTGTGCTCTGACTCTGGGCATCTCCCAGGCAGCTGTGGAGGTTCAGTGGCAGGGATTTCTGTTAACAAAAAACATTTAAAATAAAGTAAAATCTGAAGTTTCTCTAATAACAGAATAATACATTAGAAGCTAAGGCAAATTCATCATCTACCTTTACCCTAAAAAATGTTTCAATGGCAATTACTTGAATGCACCATTTTTATTATTGGCTTTTGAAGAATTTTATAAGAGCATGTACTATGATTTCATGGCAATCACACCCATAAATAAGAATGTAGACACCTACAAATATAGTTCTCTCCAAAAAGTCACCCAAAATTCATTTATGAACTTTCCCTTCAAGACACTTTGCCTTTTCTGGATCCTAATCAATAAAGACCCTACATAACTATGACTGATATCTGTGATGTAACTAAATATTATAGTTACAATTCTACAACTTCACCACTGTCTGATTCTAGAACGCATTCTACAACTGTATTACTATACTATCACTAACTTTACCAAATCTATACCCATTCTGATAAAATTATTTTGATATAGATGTGCTATTCACATCAAAAGTAATCATAATGTCCTGAGTAATCTGACATCAGATTCAGAGAGTTGTCTAAAAAACAAAAATCAGAAATTCATAAAAAACAAATCCTAGCAATGAAGGAAATTTTCTGCCTCCATTATTGTGATCTATCTATACATATATATATTTGTTTATTACCAAGTCATTCTTTTGCTAAGTGAAGGAATATGTTTTATCTTATTCTTAAGTTACCCAAGACATATTATTGTGTAATAATATCAAGTGCTATGAATTTGTTTATTGAGAAAGTTTCAAATTCCTTGATTGTTTTTGTGAAGTCAATTACCATCTGATCTTTTGCAGAGAAAATAAAAACTTTCATTGCAATGTGCTGTCTTCCAGTAGCCATCATTACCCAAATAAACACATGCAGACTTCAGTTTGGGCTCATTAGCAGCCCAATTACTGTACCTCATCCTCCATTTATCAGTCCAAACATATTCATTATTGGTCTGCAAGAACAAAAACAACCATTAAGCCTTGCTTAGAAAATACCAAAATACCAAAAGAAAATACCAAAAGAACCAAATGAGGACCAAGATGTACATTTAAGACTGTGATTTCACAAAGACTCTTCAACACTGGGGGATAAAAAGAACATTAGAGATCATTTCTACCAAATGAATTCAGTAACTGTATCCTTAAAAAAGATAACTTGCTTGAGATTCTCATGAATACAGTCTTGAAAGGTAATTTGAAAACACTGATTTAAAAACCTATGTCTTATTTTCTGAAACTCCTTTATTTGCAGGTTTTCAGTACAAAAAAGTTTTATCTTCAGAAAAAATAAAATACTTATAGTTGAAATGATAAAAAATCACATAATTTTCATTGAACTAGTAGGTTACTGTTTGGTTGTTGAAATAGTACCAGTGACAAATGACTTAGGGACGGTCTCTAAGACATTAGAGTCATAAGGAATCTAAGTCTCTCACTTCCAGTTAGGTGATCTTTCAACTATAATGAACCAGTATGGCATTTAAAACAAAACAAAACAAAACAAAAACCCTGTTGCTGTTTTTTTTTTCCATTTGCACACTCAATTTCTTATTAAATTTGGTTGAACAAACTTATTGTCACATAGATTGATAACTTTCAAAAATATCACTTATCTATCATATTCTTATAATTGTCTAAAAGATTTTATAGGTAATGCCTAAAAACAGATGATATTTAACATCAGAGATAACTGAACTTTTAAACAATTCAAATATTTGTTTTTTAATGCAATAGTTAATTTACTAAGCCAATTACCAAAGAGTCAATGATAAAATCCAAAGCAAGTATTTTTTCAAGTTTTAATTTTATGGTATTCTACCATATTCAATCAAATAATGTTTATGTAATAATTAAGTCCATAGATGTAAGGAAGACAATAGTATTGTTTAATTACAAATACTGGTACAGTGGAAACCTACTGAGTCTTTCAAAAAATATAAATCTATTTTAAACTCATTCTAACAAGATGATGGAAGAGTAAAGACACCAGGCTCACCTCCTCCCCACAAATACAACAAAACAATATGCAGATAAAAACAACAGTCCCTGAAAGGTGACTAGAAGACCATCATATTTGCAAGGAAAAGTGACATGGATGGATGGGCGGATGGATGGATGGGAGGTGGATCACAAGGCATCAGAGAAGATTCATTTTAGGAATATTTTTGGCAGCTCCCTTAATTCTATGCCTCATTCCTCATCCAACCCCATTCTCTGCCAGCTAGTTTTTTCTGCTATGGAATACCAGGAATTGATGAAATATGATATTTGTCACACATGGAAGGAAGTTCCACATCTTTAGGAGAAATAACAACTCTAGTATGACTTGCCACAAAAAAATTAAAAGTATGGGGCCTCCCCTGGTGGCACAGCGGTTGAGCGCTGGGCTGCGAGGCTGCCCGCAGCCTCTACAGCGCCGGTTCGTTCCCCGGCCGCCGGCGAGGGTCCCACAAAAAAATAAATAAATAAATAAAAAGTATGTCCTTTAACAAGCAGCTGTGCTCCTGGATTGCTTTCTTAATTCCCAAGGTATGATAATAATCATAACACTAGAAAGAAATAGGTGAATAAATAAAACAGCTTAGACAGAAATTAATTTTAACACTTAAAAGCAAGTTGAGCCTTAAATAAGTTTTCATTTATTTTCTGACATTCATCACTAGCCTGCTAGGTCCTTGAAGGCACTGGAGTCTTTAAAAATTGGGTCTTGCTCTTGTTAGCATCATTCACACTACCTGGAACAATTTCTTATACTTAATAAGGGTTCAACATAATGAACAGAAAGAGAACCATATTCAATCACAATATCTCAATCCTATTAAGTCTCATGTTTCCAGCATCTTACCAAGTTACTGTTCAGGGCAATCCACACAGGTTCATTAAGTGATTGTGTCTGCATCCATGCAAATGCGTTACTATAGGGATCTAGAATGCTAGCCATAAAGGAACTGTGAAATTTGCAGTAATCCTGTGCTTTAAGCCATGGTAACTTTAACTTTATGAGTGAGTAGCTACTTTCACCATATTTAATAAAGCCATCTGTCGAAGCTGTTGTTGGAGGATTAGTCAATGAAGAATCTGGAATAAAAAGATAATCTTCATTAGCATTATCAATAAACAATACTTGAGTGGCATCAGTAAATGACTACTAATCTCATACATCATAAACATAATCAAAATAGCACAAATCCAAACCATTAGTTGTTTAAAATATTTTCAAAAGCTATTTAAAACCAAAAAGATTGCTTTATTTTTAATCAGTGTGCCTGCTTAAATTAATTTCAAAACTATATTTAGAATATTAAGGCAGATATATGATCAAATTTTGAAATGAAAGAAACAAAAAGATTAGCAAATCTAATGAGATCTAGTATCTGGATGAAAGAAACGCATAAACTAATTCTTTTTGCCAATCCTATAAATTAAAGAATATCTATCATCCTGTCATCAATCATCTTTATTTTTCCATTTTGGTTGAATTTCAATGTCAAGAATAGTTTTCTTCCCCTTTCCTCAATCTGTTCCACTTGATCCATGAATCTGCATCTTCTTGTATTGATTTGTCTCCACCTCTGTGTAATGTACCTTGACAAGATTAGTTTAAGTTCTGGAATGAAGTTGATGAAGGACAAGAATAGAAAAACAACTGAGAAGCAGGTGCGTCACAAGACCAGAAGCCCAACACATACAAGGAGGTAGGGGTAGAATAGAATACCATGGACATTGACACAGCTATGGAAACCGAGCTCTTTAGACGCAGAGGAGAGTTGCAGAAACTAGTACCCTTAGGCGTGGACACGTAGATTACAAAGCATAAAATCCAACCAGGTATCTGAGGGCACATCCAAGGGTAAAGATAGGGAGATTGACAGCTTCATAGCACTGTGCTTTAACCCCTTGCACCACCAGGAGTCTGCAGCTTCTGAAGCATGAGTTCAATCCCTGGTCAGCCAGGGACCTACCCATATGGCACAGCAGACCTCTCCTGTCTCACCCTCTGCTCCCCTCAGCAGTGTATTTCAGTCAATCTGCCGGTTCTATTTCCCACTCTGTCTCTGGTGAATCCTCTCACACACACCCCCACCCCTCGCCCCCCGCCCGCCACACCTCTGGCCTGTACACCAGTTCTTGTATGCATAATCTTTTTTTAAAAACAGAGGGCCTCCCTGGTGGTGCAGGCGGTTGAGCGCAGCGCCGTGAAGCTGTCCGCAGCCTCTGTAGTAACAGGTTGATCCCCACCAGCCGTGGAGATACCCACATGGTGAGACAGACCTCTTCTGTCTCACCCGCTGCTCCCCTCAGCAGTGTATTTCGTCAGTCTGCCTTTTCTGTTCCCGGCTGTGTCTCTGGTGAATTCTCTCACCCTCCAGCACGTCTAACCAGTACCCCAGTTCTTGTATAAATAAATACATCTTTAGAAAAAAAAAAAAGCTATGGAGATTGAGTCCATTGTAGAATCTCTGGTCCCTTTCAAATTCTACATAGTTATCCAAAATTAGCAACCAACTGACGACTCACAAGGAATGAGCCCCTCCAAAATAGAAGAAGACAGTATCAGTTCAGTGTCTGCACAGGCTGTGACTATGCAGGTGCTTCTTTTCACCAACTCTCTCCTGCAGGGCAGCAGCCTCCTGCCTGCCTGTGACCTGTCCCATGTCGGGACTTCTCTTCACTGACCTCTCTCAGCGGAGGCAGCTCTCCTCAAGGCTGCCCGCCTGCAACCATGCAGGCCTCTTAGCAAACCTGTCCCTTCGGGGCAGCTCTCCCTGCCCACTTATGTTATACAAGTGTCCTTTCTTCTTCTGTCCCTTTTCCCTAATAAACCTGTTTTTTAAATATAACTAATGTCTCTGTGTTGTGGAGAAACCTGCCTGGGAAACTCACTGTGTGTCGCTGAAAGGGGAGCTCTGGTGACACCTTTCCCAGAGTGAACCCAAGGACCCTGTACTCCAAACTCACAGACTCAAAAAAAAAAAAAAAAAACCGACAACAAAGTCATACACCTGTCCTTAGTTCTTTTACCCTTGATGTCAGTATTATACTCTTACCAATAATTTCCTCTTCCTTTATCCAGACAGCCCATATCTTGACCAAACTGACTCTGCGGTTATAGTTAATATAAGCCAAGTCATTTTGACTTTCTGATCTTTCTTCCTCAATGTCCTAGCAGTGGTTTCTAATCATTGCTTTAGGCTCCACCCATACTTTAAACTACTTTCATCAAGACCCAAAAAGAGAGCTTTTCTCTATGTGCCTTAGCTGATGCCCTAGATCAAGGGTCAGCAAAAGACAGACAGAGGGTGAAATCTGGCCTGGTACTGTTTTCATAGTCCACAAGCAAAGAACGGTTTTTAAATGGTTCAAAAATTTTAATTTTTTTTAAAAAAGATTTATTAATTCTTGGGGGCCTCCTTGGTGGCTCAAGGGGTTAAGACAGAAACTATGAAGCAATCCACAGCCTCTGAAGCATGAGTTCGATCCCCGGCCAGCCAGGGAGCAACCCACATGGCACAGCAGACCTCTCCTGACTCGTCCGCTGCTCCCCTCAGCAGTGTACATCCGTAAATCTGCCTGTTCTACTCCCCACTCTGTCTCTGGTGAATCCTCTCACCCCCTCCACATCTCTGACCTGTACCCCAGCTCTTGTATGCATAAATCAATAAATCAAATAAATCAATCTTTAAAAAAAAAAGATTTATTCATTCATGCATACAAGAACCAGGGCACAGGCCAGATGTGTGGGAGGGTAAGGGATTCACCAGAGGCAGAGTGGGGAACAGAAAGGCAGACCGACCAAAATACACTGCTGAGGGGAGCAGTGGGTGAAACAGGAGAGGTCTGCCGCGCATGTGGGTATCTCCCTGGCCAGCCAGGATCGAACCCATGCTGCAGAGGCTGCGGACAGCTCCACAATGCTGTGCTCAACCGCCTGTGCCACCGGGGGAGGCACCCAAAAATTAATATTTCTTGACACATAGACAATGTGAATATGAAATTCAAATTTGTGTCTATAAATAAAGCTTTATTGGAACACATTTTCACTCATTTGCTTATGGCAGAGTTGAGAAGTTGTAACTTTGTACGAAATGAAAATCTCTCTCTTTATAGAACAAGCCACCACCCCTGGTCTATGGTTCTCAAAATCTTTCCCTACTAGTTTTGTCTTGGCTGATTCTCTGATGTGCTCCACTTTATACCAACCCAATTCACCATCTACCTTGTTCTGTCACTACACAAATGCCAAACTTACTTTGGATTATGCCTGGTAAGGTAACAACTCCCTTTCAGCAAGCAAGAGTATCTTCCCCTTTCTTCTGCTGTTGCTGCCATCTTGTGTTGGTAAAATATCATTAAATCCAGAAAACCAGGACAGACCCCTTTAAATGTTGCAACCTATACGAACTTAACAATCTTATCATTTCCCAACTTGGAGAGATCTGGGCTTGATTTAATATCAATGGAAAATTTTGGACAACTAAAAGTGTCACATGAAGTTTGATATAAAGCTAGATAAAAAAGTTTCATGGATGGCTACATATAATTAGGAAACAGTTAACCTATCTATTTGCTTGCTTGTTAAAACATTCAGAGAAATAATACTAGGAAAAACTAAAATACTGAGTCATTTTCAGGTGGTTAGTTTGTAGGTTATATGTGTATTATGTATTTTATACATGCATTATGTATTTTATAAACTGTCATTTTCCCTACCTATTCATACATGTATATTCATGTTTTTTATTCCTATATGTTCCTATACATATGAATAAAAACAAAGCAACAATTTAAAAGATACATAATATAGTCTTTGTTGAAATTCTAGAAAATACACAAAAACATAAAGAGAAAACATAACCGATACTCTAACCAACTAAAAATTACCTCTCAACAGTTCATATTTTCCTTATAATTTATACCTACATACCTAAAATATAAATATGTATTACACATAATGTATGTAACACACTTTTGTGGAGAGTGAGAAGGTTTGAAATACGTGCAAAAATTCAATGAAGGAGTTGAAGTCTTTACCCCACTATCCAAAGATAATCACTATTCAGGTTTTAATCCATTTTTCATGGTATTTTTGTTCCTATTTTCTAAAGGGGATTATTGTATTTTTTGCATAACTGATAATCTATAAAATTTATATTCTTCCTTTTTCCGCTAATGTTATCTGCTTAAGATTAATTTATTAAAAATTTTCTAAGTATTTTATTGGTGCAGATAGTCTATCATTTATCTCATAATAAGAAAAAAAGATTTTAAATACACTTGTGAATTATAACAAGGAGCCTCCCCCTTTGCCCAAAGGACAGAGGCCCAGACGGCATGCCTTGGCATTACTGGCACCCCAAGACTCGTTCTGGGGAGTAGAGAAGTTTGGAATTTCTGCAGTACTTTTCAATCATCTGAAATGATTTTCAGTCTTTGTCATAAGAAGACAATAGCTCCCTGATTTTCCAGAAAATAGAAAAACCTGTTAGATCAGAGAGAGTAAGTATCTTCTTCTCAAACTGATCCTCTAAGAGCTTTACTCAGAATAACAGCAACCCACCTCACCCTCCATGCTCATTTCTAATCTAACTTCTTCTTGTATAGCTAGACATTTTTGTTGTAGTTTCGATAGAAACTAAAATGCATGTAATCATTATCTTGATTCTAAATAAATAATCTTGATTCTAAATAAATAATTACATTCTCCTTTATTTTCATTTAACCATAGGTGAACTTCCTAAGATGAAAAGAAAAAAAAATCAGATACCTTGCTTTAATACAGGACATACAACAAACACCAAAGCATAATTGATGCTTTGTGTCAATGGTTCTCAAATTATGCAATTTGAACCTATGTGCTCTCACACTAACATTTTTTATAAAGTCGCAGAGTCTCTGCTCTACTCCAGAAAATCTGTCCACAATCAGCAGGTCAACACCACAAAATATATATGGAAAGTTCTCTCCCACTCTCTTTATCAAACTGTATTTAATCTTCTGTTTTTCAAGTCCTGAAATTGCAACAACAGAGTGTGTGTGTTTTGATTCCATATTTGTAAAAAGTCACAATTAGACAAACAGCCCAATTTTCAAACAAAATTCAAAAAATGTTCAAGTTTAATCTGCACAGAACTCTCTGGTAATGGATGAAGGATGCACACACACTCATGAATAAAATATAGAAACCACTGCTTTTGTCTGTTATGGATGAAAGTGAGGATCAAGCAAGAGAGTGGTCAGTTTTTGTAAGTACTTGTATTTTTCAACAATTTAAAGTTCACAGCAAAATTGTGACACTTTTTAAAAACACAGCTCTTACATACAGGCAACCTTTGGTAGATCTTACCAGGAAGCATCTGGCATACATAGCCTCGCTTGTTGTCACACTTGTCATCCATCCATTTCCCTACTTCCCTTGATTTCCCTCCAATAATAACAACACAGTCAGCCTATATATTTATGAAGGGGGAAAAGAAACATGAATTAATCATTAATTACATCAATTCATTAATAAGCAAAAAAAAAAAAAAAGCAGCCCTTACCCCTAACCTCTAAATTTGAAGACTGTCCTAATTCACTGACAGTATGTTCAACGCAAACTTTTAATGCAATTGCACCCCTTACCATATAGACCTCTCACACTGAACTCTTGTTATTTTAACTGGAAGTCACCCATAGAGTTGGATAAATTTTGAAGATAGATGTGAGAAACTTTACTGTTAGAAAATTTGTCAATTCCCTGATCACAATTATCAAACATACCACAATTAGAGTGTCCTCTCAATGTCCTGCCTACAGCTCATTATCTCACAAGCCTCAAGTGTCAGGAACCCCAATTCTATGTTTCAAAGATTGTCTATTCCACTTCATCTCCCCTCATCGCTATTCTGATCTTCCATTATCCTGGCTCAGAGTCTCTGCTCTACTCTAGAAAATCTGTCCACAATAAACAGGTCAATACCACAAAATACATATGGAAAGTTTTCTCCCACTCTTGTTATCAAATGGTATTTAATCCTCTATTTTTCAAGTCCTGAAATTGCAATAATACAGTATGTGTGTTTTGATTCCATATTTGTAGAATATAAACTATATTATTTTACAAGCACTAAGAACAGTATAACAGTAAATTCAATTAAAAAATTAACTTTTATTCTAGATGGTGAAATTACAATTGATTGTTGGTTTGTTTGTATTGCTTTTCTTTATGTTCTACAAACAAAAACCTTGAATAATAATGAATTTGCATAAAATTCAATACTTATACATGAAACATTTCTAAGTAAACCCTCCCTCATTCCATTCCATTCAGCCATTAAATCTCTTCAGTAAGTTTCCAGTCCTCTCAATAAGTTTCTTTAAATTTCAGAAAATTCAAAGAATTGCTCCACCCATATTCAAAATCTATCCACCCTGCACTGATAGTAAAGATGCCTTTTTAATTGCCTATCTGACAAAGTCCAAACTTGTCTGTAGAGCATCTAGATTTCTCTAATTCTGCTTTCCACCTTTCACGCTTACCCCTACTTCTTTTCTGTACAAAACTCCTTTTACATCCAAAGTCACTACTCTACTTCTGCCCAAACCCACCTTGCATATATTTTCTGGAACACTTTCTCACCTTGTCCAATAAACATGGTTTTCTCCATCCTCTTGCCAAGTTCCCTGATCTTTATGTTTTAAGACTCTTGAGAAAACAAACCACTGCTGATTCTTTTTCATATCCCTTCCCTCCACAAATGGAGGGTTGCATAGGTAAGTGTTAATTCATCAGATCACCTGCTCCCACAGTAAGTTTCTTAACTCCTAACCATTACAGTGCTTTTATAACTGGTCCTGTCATTACCTAGTTCCATTTCTTTTTTTCTGATATAATAGTTCAGGTTAAGTGGAAGCTTCTTTCACAGAAGCACAAATTCTTACATTTCTTCATGTTTTTCACAATGTTCAGAATGTATTTAACATTGATTGGCTGTTTGATGATATAAGAATAAGTAAAAAGAGCATAATAAAAAAGCAATCATCTGCCTTTTAGATTAATATATAAAAACTTTTAGCATAGTACTTGCCACATCACAAGCACTCTGGAATATTAGCTATAATGATGATATATGTGGAAGTAATAGTAGCTTCCAGACAAACCCCAAATCCTATGACAACCTCAATAGCTCAGGAGCAGCTTAGGCAAAGAAAGTTGGTGACTCTGGGTGCAGGACACATCCTGACTACTCCATAGGCCCAGATTGGAACTGACTTTCCCTACCCCTCATTTGCAACCCTAAGTTGAAGATCACTTTGCTGAATTTTTGCCTCTTTTCTCCAGCCTGGCTCAGCCTGAAACTGTAAAAATCTCTAAGATAAACCAGATCAAGGTAGATTTTTCACAGACGAGTAACTACTAACATGATGATTTTAAGCATACTGGTATCATATGGAGAGGCGACTAAAAGTGATATTTACCTCTTCATAAGAAAGACTGCTCCTCCTTCCAGCTGGGAACCCATTTGCCCAGTTGGTGTAGCTAACTCCTCGCCCATCTGTCCACAAGAACGTGCGCTCGGAATTGACATCATTCAGTCCGTTCCAGACGTTAAAAGTAGAGCCCTTCATGTGATAGGTGAGAAATGCTGAAAGAAAGTTTCACAAGATAATTTTAAACTTTGGGAGGAAACACTCAAAATATGACAGACATTCAAAGTATATTCACTTTCAAATATCCTATCAGTTTAAGGTCTTTCTTATTATTTAAAAGCACTTCCCTGAATACAAACATGTTAGCCATGTTATTACTTTAACTTTGACCTTTGGATTGTCAAATGTTTCTCACAATAAAAGGCTAGGTTTTACTCAGTCACTGTAGATATCTGTACAATAGTGCCCTGCCCAAAGGCACCAGGGCACTGGATCAAGGAGGTCAAAGGTTGCTGATGCCCACCTCCTGCCTCACTCTCCATTTGTGTACCCAATCTGGGTCACAACTACCCTGGCACTGTGGGAAGATGTGCACTTTTCTAATTCATGCACAGTTATCAATGGGTTGGTAGGTGTCCTGATTTTATAAATCACATAATCTGATAATAACTGCAGAGGGGGTGGGTGAAATATGTTTGGGGAGAGAGCTCTTAGTCCAGAAGAGTTATGAAAACAAGACTATTTGTCAAAACAAGACGCATTCAGCTATTCAATTATCAATACTTTGAATTACCTAATTGAAAGAGCTACCCAATGGGGACTCCTTCAAGGCGGTGAACTCCTAGGGGGTCAGCAGCTGTCCAGAGTGTGTTTGGACCCAGGGGGTATCCTGAGGCTAAGGTTCACATCATGGAAAGGGGAGATCTAGAGAAATTCAGAGAATATAGACAAATATGGCCTCTTGTCCCTTGTCAGTTGTGTGGCAGAGAAGATGGCAACAAATATCCAGAAGCTATAAAATGTACCACTCCTTTCCTTTAGCTTATTCCCAAGCTTCCCACGTCAGCTTCCTTCTGCAGCCAGCACAACACCTGCCAGGAACATGGGTGCCAAGGTAGATGAGCACCTGCTCTATAAAATAGCCATCTCCAAAGACTTATGCCTAAATGCTACTTCTGGATGTAAACAGAAAACCAATGACAAGGCACTTAGAGTTATTAATAGAAAATAAAATAAAATAGAGAGAAGCCACAGAGATACAATTACCTGCTTATTCATGAGCAATTACACATTTAAAAAAAAAGATTTATTTATTTATGCATACAAGAACTGGGGTACCGGCCAGAGGTGCAGAGGGGTGAGAGGATTCACCAGAGACAGAGTAGGGAACAGAACAGGCAGATCTTCTGAAATACTCAGAAGTCTGCTGAGGGGAGCGGCAGGAGAGACAGGAGAAGTCTGCTGTGCCATGTGGGTCACCTCCCTGGCCTGGGATCGAATTCATGCTTCATAGCTGCAGATAGCTTCATAGTGCTGTGCTTAACCCCTTCTGCCACCAGGGAGGCCCCGCAATTACACATTTAAACCATGGCTACATGCTTGCTCTTCTGCAGAGTAGTAGTCACAGCAAGCTTCCTACTCAGATATTTGCTTACTTCTCAGTTAACAAAGGTAATTTTTTTTTTATTCCTGTATTTTTCAAAGAGAGAAGACCATGGGTAGGTATTTATTTTCATTTTATTTTATTCCCTAAATAAGATAATAAATTTTACCCTATCCCCAATTTGAAATGAAATGTGGAAAAGCTCTACCAGCCAATATTTCAGCACTAACATTTTTTTCTGCCAACAACCACAAGAAGAATTCAACAACGTGTGCCTGTTTTGCCAGGAATAATGTTATTTTATCTGAAAATTGTTTCCTTCTGCACATCTCTATTACCCAGGTTCTAATTCTGTTATGCCAGGAATCAGCACTCTGTGGTTAAGAGAGGAAATCAATGATTGTGTTTCTCTGCTGGGTAGCTCAGCCCAAAATGTGGTAGCCCAGTTAGAGAAATGTGAATATTATATTCTTAATTTTTTTTATTATTGTGCTATGGTTTGATCCTTTCCTGTCAGTGTCTGGCAAGTCGCTGAACTTGTCAAAGGTTCTCACTGAAAAGTTTGGTTGACTTATTGCACAATGTCTCCCAGAGAGCACGTGATAGCATTTTTGGAGTCAAAGAAACACTTAGAGGAATAGCATACAGTATCCTAGAGTCTCTCTTCTTTATTATGTATCTTTGAGACATGCATTTTCTCCAGTAAATGATTTTAGAAGTCAAAGAATCTCGGAACCAAAAAGAAACTTAGAAATTATCCAGACTATATGTTGCCCTAACAATATCTGCATAAATTCATTCATATGTACAACAAACATTCCTGAGCATCTTCCATACCAAATGCCAGTCAACATTTATGATTCTACAGCATCCATCCAAATTCTTTCCAGATTAAGCATTTTCACAGCCTTTTACAAAACTCTGGAAGCAGCCCATCCGATCAGTTTAATTGCTATAATGACCTCCCAATTGTGAAATGAAATCGATTTCTCTATAATTGCTACTTACTGATTCTAAGTCTTCCTTTAGGAGTCACATAGGATAATCCTTCAAAGACCATACCCTCGGTCCCAGGTGTGAAACCTGCGACCTTTCAAACACTCCTCACTTGTTATGGTTTCCAAGCTCTTCGTTAGTTTAGTCGTTTTTATCTGAATGACCAGCAATTGGTCAACATTGTCCTTGAAGACACATCATTCAGTTAACCTAATATCTATTTCAGGTAAAGTGGTCCTGAAAAGACCATGCAGATATGGTCAAGTATCTTCTTTTGACAACATAATGAATTTTACAATCTTACGTTTCCTCCTCACATGCTCTTCAAAGTGCTGGCTTATTCTTATTATTTATCAATTATTTTTTCTCAATTCGTTCAAAGCATATATTTAAAAGCTAGTGTTAGTGCATTATAAGTTTGTGATCACATAACTAGAAGAGCAGTAAGTAGCAAATCAGTTTTCATTGTATTCCTAAAACTATTATCTATCGTTAACTGGGGGTTGGAGGGGACGGGGGTCAAACTGGATTGATAGAAACAAAATGGAATATAAACTGGAAGACCCAGTTAGGTTCCCAACCCTACAGTTTACTTAGCAAACTCCAACTCCAGGTTCCCTGAACACCCTTTCCTCATTCACAGGGGGGTAATGACACCTGCCTCTTGGAGTTGTTATGACAATGGAAAGGGACTTTATATGTCAAGTTCCTAGTATGGTGCCCATAACTGAATAAAATTGTTCATAATATGTACTTAATTTTCCCCTTCATATCATTTAATGGGAAGAATACATATTTCAATGCACCACTGATCATAAATGGCTGCATACCTTGCTCTTTTTTATTGAGTATGGATGCCAGATTTCCTCCAAATCCTATGCAAGCTTTTCGTGCCTCTTGCCAATTATTTCTTTCTTCTTCTACAAATCCAAAGATCTTGAAACACTAGGATGGATGTTCAAAAAAATATGGGAATTAACTAAAGGAAATGTTGTTTGCTCTACAGAAATCACTACACATAATTAAATATAAATTTTCATACAACCAAGTAGAGATCAAAAATTAAGTCAGGTTTTTCACCCACAAACTCTCTGCAAAGTTTTTTCCTCCTTTGGGACAAAGGGTACAACTATTTGGATAAAATCTTCACATATACTCTTAGTTACCACATTGAATTTGAGATAGGCATCTCCATCTATTCTTGCCAAACATTTTCTAAAGTTATGAGGTACATAGAATTTCACTTTACACTGAAAGATTTGCATTGTCACTCTCTATACTGATCAATGGAAAGACTACAGTTAGTTTTCTTAGTACCTTGTTATTAAAAAGACTCCAGCCTTCCTTACAACCTCCTGAGCTCGGAGTGGTTGTAGGAATAACCGTGGCATTGATGCTGCTATTATGCCGCTGGCAAATGAAGGCATTAGGGTAACCACAATTAATGTCATTCCAAAACCCTAGCAAAGAACATAATAATTAAATTAGACTTAAATATTTATGCTTAAAAACCACTATTTTTAAAAGTGCATTAATATTTTGTAAGCATTCTCAAAAATGGCTGATGACAATCAAACTTTATTTTATACAACAGACTCAAAAAAAATCTACCCTTTTGCTCTTATTACTTTATTTAATCTTCTCAGCAACAGATAGTTTCTATAATCATTATTCCCATTTACAGATAAAGAGTTGGAGAGAGAGATAAAGGAGATATACAAACATTCTGTATAATTTTTTCAAATCAGAACATTAAAAAATGTTTTTTTTATCAAATAAGAAGTGAGAAGACTGTCATTTTTTATGGTAAATGTTAAATATCCATTCTCTCTACAAATTGAATGGTTATGCTGCTAAAATTAAAATGTTCCTCTATTTTTCTAATTTTCTTGCCTGATGATAGGCACAGCTTGCCTAAGGATGTAATAAATGACATATCACACTACGAGGTAAATGCAAGAAGATTTTTATATTGTCTACCTGAATGTGAATACATGGTTACACAGTTTTCATCATCGTTTGCAAAATTGGGTTCACCTGGAGCCCATGACACATAATCCACTTTGTCTCCATCCATCCACCTGGAAAAGAAAACCCAGGGATTTAGCAACAATTTAATCATCATATAACTGGCCCAGGCAAGATGTTGACTGAAACATGAAAGGAGCACAGGATTCTACGCAAGTTCTAGAAGAGATTCTAGAAACACTAGCAGGAAAACCCAAAGGTCAGTTGGTGTTTTTGATGGCATGGGCTCCCCTGAAGTAACCCAATACCTTCACTATTCTCTCTTTTTCTCCCTCCATGGGAAAAAAAACAGACTCCATTTCATCTGGACATGGGCCAGAAGCAAATGTCCTCTCCCTTTGGTATTTTTTAGGCATGGTTCTTACAAAACAAAACCACCCAGAGAGGGTGAGAATATTGTTTCTCATTAGTCCCTTTATTTGATTTTCAAGTTTACTCATTTCTTCTAAGGATGTGGGTAACACTTATTTTCATAAATCATAAAAATTCAGAGTGATGGCTACAAAATGACCAAGAGATCATCAGATGGGACTGTCATATTTTATTTATTTTTACTTATATATATTTCATATCATTGTTCATTCTTAAACAATGTTTGCTTCCCCCTAACCCTCAGATGTAGTGAGGAATGGGAGGGAGGGAGGGAGGGAGAGAGGAGCATGGGGGATTGCGGTGATGATGCACGGGTGCACTGGTGATGGACCTTCACATTTTAGCGATGAGCAAGCGAGTGCTTAGTCACAGAGCATCAAACATCCCTGACCTTTAGAAACAATGAATATGAGTTTGGTTCTAAATTGCTTAAAAATGACCCAAAAAAATCACTTGGAACATATGTAGCTATATAAGCTGTGTGTGAGTCAGGACATATCTGTTCAAACTTAGGAGAACATGTGTATTAATGAAGAAGGAAGAAGCTCCCAATCTGTTATAATCTCCTCCCTTCCGCAATGCTCCCTGGCCCCTGTATCTAATAGAAAACAGTGCAGCTATTGCTTCGAAGGGAAAGCATTTTAAGCAGCTGAAGGAATACTTCAAAGCAGCACTGTCAAAGCCAATGGGGGGCGGTGACATAAAATGTCCTTTTGGCTCTGTGCACCAAGGACAGTCCAAACGGGAATCATAATTTTTTAAAGAAATCCCGTATTCATATCTCTGTAACATATTTTCTTAGATGATTTATTAGCAGGTAATGATATCTGATAGTAAAGACAGTTGTTTTGTGAGATTAAATTAGATTTTGAGCCATTTGAGAATTGTAGGACTGAACTTATTTATGAGGATTACTTTAAATTCTTGGGTATTTTCTTTTTTGAAGCATTTTAGAATGAGAGCCCTGTGGGGTTTTTTGTTTTACAATAAGCAAAACAAAGTTTCAAAATAACTCTTAGGTGTGTGTCAGATCAAGCCTAAGGAAAGTTTTTCTTTTGATTTACTTACATAAACTTTTTATCCAAGCTGATCAATAAACCAATAAAATATGCCGGCTGTCCACCATTCCTGTTTCCCTAGAACATGGGAGTTTACATATATTCAATGTACACTGATGTAACAAAGTAGTTCTTAAACTCTATATATTGTAAGGCAAAGCATTATGTTGAACACCTTAAAACCTATGCAGAGCTGCATGTCAATTATTTCTCAATAAAACTGGAAAAAAATAGTAAGGAGGCAGTCTATTAGGAACTTTCTCTAAGGAGAGAGTAGTTTAGAAATGTTGCTATATATTCCAAGTTATGTTTCTCATAGGGAAAAAAATGTACATTATAAAACAACCTGAATTTATATGGCAAATAGTTTAAATTATTCTGTAACATGTCAAATGCCTACAATAATTAGGTTGTTGTAGACATTTTTAAAACAAAGTAGTCAGTTGGCATTATGTGTCTAAGGAAAGATTTCATATAAATATATATATATATTTGTGTAATATTAGGAAATATCCTAAGAATTTCAAACCAAGGTATAATCACTATGATGAAGATAAATCTTTATAAATCAAATGAATTTTTGTTCTTTTATTACCATTTAACTTTTTTATTTTCTGTTCTTATCTCCTTTCTGACAAACAATGAGAATGCTATGAGGATGTTTAAAGAGAAAGTTACTGAATCAAAGTATGTTTGGAAAAACATAATTATACTTACACTGTTGCCCAACAATTTTGGTAAAATCAAGAGAGATTTTTACATGAATAAACAAGCTGTCCTATCTAATTAACCAATAATTATATTAATTTATATTAATAATCAACCTGCATTATAACACCAGGATTCCAGGATTGATGTATAACAACTAGTTAAGAATTATAATCTTTGAAAATGAGTGTACTCGAAACCATCAAGTATTGACACTCACTAATCCCAGTCTGAATATTGTTGGTGGGTTCTGTGATTTTATGCTGAATATTCAAGCAATCAGATCATTCATGTCTATGGCCAGCACTTTGGCATTCACATCTTTACCCCTGACCTTAGAAGGTTCAAATTCAGCACATAATTTGAAGTTGTACCAAGTGATACCAGTCATAGACATTATCTTTATCACATGACACAGTTGCATTATCACATTCTTACATATTTCCATAGAAACTTCCTTTCACTTTCACTTTGAATAGAAACAAGGTCACCAAAATTCTTCTTGCAAAATGCTCGTGCATCTTCCATGGCTTTCCTCTCTTTGCTAAAATAATATTGGTAGTCTTTGTAAATAACCCAGCCATCTTCAGTGACTGATGGATCTGAAAATTTAATGGAAAAAGGTGATACATTTTACATAGCTGAATACAAGAATCTGATATACATGTATAGAAAAGTAAAAGGGTAAAGTAGGTATATCACAGGCAACTCTGAAAGCCCAGAATAAGCAGAATGTTCATGCCACATACAAACTGAATTCCCAAAGCAGACTACTCACTTTCCACCAACTCTAAAATCTAGCTACTTTGTTTTCTGAATCAAGTTCCATATATCATTGTTGGGAAAAGCACTCCTGATGTTACTTTCATCAATAGGGTAACATGGCTGGAAGGATTTACTTGCACATACTTATGATTGTCTATGTGTAGGGGCTTCAAACTATATAAAAACAGTTTTCATCTCAATATAAAAAAAAACTTCTACAAGATGGTTTTGCACAATTTAGTGTATAATTGGAGAGCCAAGGAATTCACATACCAAGAGGACTCCTAATTCTTCTTCCAAACCTTGGGATTCTATCATTCTATGCTGTAGTAGACCGAGTAAGAGCCCCAGAGATATCTAGGCTCTAATCTCTGGACTCTGTGCCTCTCTTTACCTTATGAAAAAGGGTGATTTTTTAGATGTGATTAAGTCAAAGATCTTGAGAGGCAAAGGTTATCCTAGGGTAGCTGGGTGGATTCTACATACAACCACAGGTATCCCTGTAAAGGGAGGCAGAGGAAGATTTGACTGTGAAGAAAAAGGCAATGTGAAAAAATGAATCAAAATACTACACTGCTGGTTTTGAAGATGGAAGAAGGGACCACAAACCAACAAAGGTAAGGAATTAGCTCTTGATGCTCATAAAGTCAAGGAAATAGAGTCTCTGAAGGGAGCACAATCTTGCAGATACTTTGATTTCAGCCCAGTAAAACTAATTTTGGGTTTCTGATGTCTAGAACTCTAAGGTAATAAATATGTGTTGTTTTTATCTCCCAAGTGTGTGGTAATTTAATATAGCATTATAGGAAACTAATAAATGTGCTACAGAGGAAAGCTGAGCCCTAGCATTGGATTCATGGATTCTTAAGAAACTATTGACAGGCCTTTATTTGTGCCTCAAGGAGAAGGCCCAAACTTTCATGAGATTCACAAAGACATTGAGAAGCTCTGCTGTCAACCTTCTAAGGGTAGATGATTTTTGCTTTGTTTTATTTTTTGTATTTTGAAAAAGGCAAGAGGGAAAAAGGTTTTCACTACAGAGATAAGAAAGTAAGGAAATACTTACTGTCAAAAGGAGGTGGTGTTGGCTCAGGTTTTGGTGTTTGTCCTGTGAAACAAAAGAAAATCAGATATAAAGCACACTTGAACTATTATCTGTCTAGTTTCGCTATTTTCATTTCTCAAAATAGTTAAGAGTTTAACTGTTCTTTCTCTTTCCCTTCTTCCCAACTACTCTCCTATGGAGGGGCAGAAAATCAAAGAAAACAGAACTAGGAGCTAAGAGTTAAACAGATTAGGTACAATAATAGCTGCCAGAAATTGAAAAAGTTTTCAGGCACAACTAGTAGTGTCATATAAAGGACAGTAAATATGAGGTGTGGAACCTGAGAGTTTAAGTTTCAAATCCCAAATCTGCATTTAAACTGCCTACTCTTGATTTTGTCAACTGCAAAAAGGAGTTAATGATATGTGTAAAGAGAGAGTGTAAAATATGTGTTATTGGTAGTTAGAAAGTCTTCTATAAATGCAAGTTTTTATGTCAGATATCTTATAATTAGCTGTAAAATTACTTAACATTTCATTATTTGAAACCATTAAATATGAAAAATGTTTAGTAAAATATTTTCTTTAAACTCATATTTTTATTGAATGTTTTTATTAAAAACTAAATGAAATATTTTTCTTTCCAAGTAGCTAATGGCATATCTGAACTTTATTGGACTCTGGCAGAGAGACTTTGGCTTAATGTATTTAACATCTGTAAGAGCTGAGCTACTAATAATACTTTAAAGAAATTAGTCATTGGTTACCTAAAAAACTGGTCACCACTTACTCCCTCGTTTTGAAAACACTAATCTAAGCAGAAGAAGTAAGGGAAATAAGCAGCCAGCCAGCAGGAGAGCCACTCAGGGTCTCTAGCAATTGAGTTGGAACAGTTGCCAAAGTTCCTTCCTGGATGACAGACTGCAACATGGTTCCCTTTATCTGTTTACAAAAGAGGAAGTTGTATATTTTGGTTCAAGGGAGGATTTGTTTATCTTAACCTAACAACCTGGATACCCTGACCTTCATGCTTAACTTGGAGATGTGGAACTCTGAGTTATAGATAATCAGTGCTAAGCACTGATGTGTTTTTGTGACTAATGATATGGTGAGTCTAGCTAGCATTGGGAACCTCAAAATGGCGCTTGTTTCTTGTATCAATAGCCTAACTGACATTTAGACTATTCAGACTTAGGGAAACATTTACCTATTGGACATCAAATGGGCGAAAAGCCCAAAAAATAAATTACATTTTCTTCACTTTTCTCACAGAGTAGAACTTCCATTCACTCCTAAGACTAGAACCTGAGCCAGAATCACAGCTTGTGGGAACTATTTTGGAGGACGTGACTCTTGTCCAGGATTCTTGGGTGGCCTTTTGATCTTCTGTTCCTTTGGAACATTTGTCTGTGCTCAGCAACTTAATTCTTATCCTGTGAAATGATGGGCCCTGCCAGTTCCCTTATTTTGTTATTTTGTTTGTTTGTTTCTGCTAATAAAGCGGAAATATTGGGATGTCAGGAGTTTAATTCTCCAATATGAGATAAAGGCCAGACAAGTTATCATACCTTTTGGAATCTGGCAAATCCAGTAGTTAAGATGTTCACAGTTAATATCATTCCAGAACATACCAGGGTCACCTTTCAATTCGCCACAGAATTCAATATTTTCATGATTATTAGGTTCTCCATAAGACCATTTTTCATATGAAACCTATGTCAGACACATTGAATTGAAACCATTAACCATCTGTATCAGGTCAATGCCAATCATCTATCCAACCAGGAAAGCAAAGATAGAGTTCCATTTTTTAACCCATTTTTTTTTTCATAAATTTTCTTCAAAAGCAAGGTTTATGAATATGGGTGGGAAAGAAATATCTTTGCCTACATGGCAAATTTTGATGAAATACTATGGATTAATATAAAAATTTATATTATACAGGTATAGGCCAGAGGCACAGGAGGGTGAGAGGATTCACCAGAGACAGATTGAGAGCAGAACAGGAGAAGGACTGAAATACACTGCTGAGGGGTGCAACGAGTGAGACAGGAGAGGTCTACCACACCACGTGGGTATCTCCCTGGCCAGGGATCAAACCCGTGCTGCAGAGGCTGTGAACAGCTTCACAGCACTGCGCTCAACCTCCTGCGCCACCGGGGCAGTCCAATCTCTTACAAAATCCTGAAAGGATAATACTACAGTGTGATATTTAAAAATTTAGCTTTATTAGATGGATAGATTTTTAGAATGCAATTCTCCTTACAAAATAAAAAATGAGAAAATGTAACTAGCAAAGTTATTAAAGTTTACCAAAATTTACAGTGGAAACAAATGGAGTGCTGGGTTTAGGTCCTCTATGGAGCCCACAGGTTTTAGACTAGGCAGTATGATCTATTTTCTAGAGATATAAATGTAGAATATAAATGTCAGCAGAGCTATCAAATAGCTTTGAAAAGTCTGGTGGATTTTAAAAGAAAGTAGAACTGACGTACAAAATCACTACCTGCAATGACTATAGCTACGAAACACGCCCAGCATGTGCCAAAGACACTTCCTTTTCCATCTGAGAATGGAAAAGTCTGACAAAGTCTAACAGGTTTTTTGTTTTTTTTTTTTAAAGATTTATTTATTTATTTATTTATTTATTTATACAAGCACTCGTACAGTCAGAAGCGCGGGAGGATGAGAGAATTTACCAGAGCCAGAGCGGGGAGCAGAGCAGGCAGAAGGACCGAAGTACACTGCTGAGGGGAGCAGCGGGCGGCAGGAGAGGTCTGCGCACCATGTGGGACCCTCCTCCAGTGGGGTGGCCGGGGAGCAGCCGGGGATTGAACCGGTGCTGCAGAAGCTGCTGGCAGCTTCGCAACCCAGCGCTCAACTGCTGCGCCACCGGGGAGGCTCCAGTCTAACAGTTTTTAATGGAGTATCAAGTTTCTTCCAAATCTCCTGATATCTATGAACCTATAAAACACTCATTTCTTAAGTTTACCTCATTTCACACCTATTTTTCATGATAGAATAAAGATATTACTTTACATAAACTAGTGGAATACACATCAACAGTTAACTGTGGCTATGCCTTTGGTGAATGGGAAAATTGAGCAGAAGCAGAATAGAATTGATTTTACATGGGAAAATATGTTTAGCTATAATAACCTGATTATTAAATTTTGGATTAAGCCCCATGATGATATCAACATAAAACATGATGAAATAAGACAATGACATTTGGAATCAAATTACTCACAGGAGAACCATCACTCCATGTAAAGCCTTCTGAAGGATTCCCATATGTCAGCCCCAGCCAAAACACTTCATGGTAATTTGCACTAGCCCTGTGACATACAAGATATAAAGAAAGTTTCTGCTACTGTATGCAGTAAGTTTGGTTACTTACAAGGACTAATCAAATCTGAAAGTTGTGCTCACTTCGGCAGCACATATACAAATCTGAAAGTTATCTCCACAACTTGTAAGTACAAAGTATAGAAGTTTTTTATTTTGTTAAATTGTGATGTCTTTATTTATTTATTTTTTAAGATATATTTATTTATTTATACAAGCACTGGGTACAGTCAGAAGCATGGGAGGGTGAGAGAATTCACAAGAGCCAGAGCAGGGAACAGAACAGGCAGACTGATGAAATACACTGCTGAGGGGAGCAGCGGGCAAAGCAGGAGAGATCTATCACGCCATGTGGGACCCTCACCAGTGGCCAGGGATTGACCAGAACTGCAGAGGCTGCGTGCAGCTTTGCAGCCCAGCGCTCAACCGCTGTGCCACCAGGGGAGGCCCTCTTTTTTTTTTTAAGATTTATTTATTTATACAAGAACTGGGGTACAGACCAGAGGTGAGGGAGGGTAACAGGATTCACCAGAGACAGAGCAGGGAGCAGAACAGGCAGACACACAGAAGACACTGCTGAGGGGAGCAGCGGGTGAGACAGGAGATGTCTGCCATTCCTCGTGGGTAGCTCCCTGGCTGGCACGGAATCGAACCTGTGCTGCAGAGGCTGCGGACAGCTTCACAGTGCTGTGCTCAACCCGCTGTGCCACCAGGGAGGCCCCAGAAGTTTAATGACTAAATATCAACATTATACAGTAAAAGTATATTTTGGTACAACCCATCAATATCCTAAAATTGAGTCACTGTTTAAGAGTAAATAATTGTAAAGCTTTGAGTGATAGTCAGTCATTGATTCATTTAACAATGTATACTGATTGTCTTACACTTTTAGAGTAATTTGCTGTATGATTTATACCTATAAAACTAACACATTTTAAAATAAAACTAAAGAAAGGACTCATGAATATGAGATATGATAGATGTACGTACAGCATATCTATCATCAGTAGCATCATGAACCAGCAATTTCAGAAATATAAGAATTTTCTCATCATTAACATCCAAAAGGCAAAGGACAAGAACATTACATAGAAAAAATACTTACGTTATTAGCCGCCATATTGCTTGCTGTTCCTCTTTATTATTGATACTAGCAAGATCACCACCCAGAGCTCTACAGAAATCACGAGATTCAAACCACGTTTTCTTCTGTTTTCCTTTTCCATACACCTAAAGATGATACAATTTCAGAAGACATTTTACACTTCACAGCGTATCAAGTTTAAGATTAACAACTGTTTACTTTTGATGAGACTTTATTTATAGAATAGCAGGCCATAACAATGGCCCCCAAATATCATCATTCTCTTGATTGATGGAATATTTTGGTAACAAAATTTGAGGATCATTTGAGAAAAAAATTACTTTATAGTAATTTTAATTATTTAGAAAATAAAATTACTTTATTGCATAGGAGATGAAATAAAATATAAAAAGCTTTAGTCATATGAGTTATACATACAGTTCATTGTAAAAGGACTGGTTCAGTTCAATGTATAAAGTGACATTCAAATGGGAAAAAAATAAACTTTGATACAGTGAAGGTATACATGAAAAAGGAAATTTTTTTTCTTTTAAAGATTTATTTATTTTTATACAAGAACCAGGGTACTGGCCAGATGCGCAGGAGGGTGAGAGGATTCACTGGAGACAGAACAGGGAACAGAACAGGCAGACTGACGAAATACACTGCTGAGGGGAGCAGCAGACGAGACAGGAGAGGTGTACTGCGCCATGTGGGATTCTTGCTGGCCGGCCAGGATGGAACCCGCGCTGCAGAGGCTGCAGACAGCTTCACAGTGCGGTGCTCAACCGCCTACACCACCAGGGAGGCCCAAAGGAAATTTTTAAGGAAAATAACCTCTCTAAAATTGTACCGCTCTGTTATCTTGTTTAGGGTCCACAATGAGTAACCAGGTAATATTCTTCAAAGCTGCCACGTCTTTTCACCTTATGTTGGCATATTTTAACAACAAGTAGAGTACATGCCAAAACACATTTATGACAGGATATTTAAAAAGATGCATTATAAGCTAACTAAATTGGATAAAGTATGTAATTTAGAGACTGTCATACTAACAAGAGGACTGCAAGGACATGGGATATACAGTGAATCTAGGAAACAATATAGGAGTTCATTGTTTCCACCAACTTTTGTAATTTTTATACATTCTCAGTAAGCCCTGGCACTAGTTAATATAAGCCTTGGGAAAATGGATTTGTTTCCAATGTACTATGTCTCCCCAGTTGTCATCAAGCAACCCAAGGAAACTTTCACCTTGCCCTTAACTTGAACTATCTGGACAAAGATATCTTGACCAACTTTCTACTTCAGTAACTCCCAAGACTCCTGGGAGCACCTCAGCTTGCTAGATTGTTATGTAAGTTTTTTTTCTTAAAACAACTTACTATTAGCTGAATTTATTAATAATCCCCATATGTTAATATATACAAAGATGACCTATATGTTTCCATCCTAACTCTACCTCAAGCACCTCTAAAACCTCACAATTTCTTCTGAAGCACATATTTTGATTTATTGAATATCCACGTGGATTATGTCTCCTGGAACTCTAGGTTTGCTTTCCAGTTTTAGAGAATTTTGCTGCTTCTCTCAAAATCCTGTGACAAATCTTTATTACCTACCACCTTCAGGTGAATGGCCATACATAGGATGAAACTGGCCTTTGCTTAGTAACTCGAGTTTCCATCGGGAACAATAAAATACTTGTCAAACTTCCTCAACTGAACCACATACAAAATCCTTTCCTGTATTGGCCTAACACATTCCCTTCTATGTAACTTTTGGCCCTGACTAGTCAGTATAACCAGTTTATCATCAGTGGCTACTGCTACTACTAGTAGTTGCCAACCCAACCTTTCTTGAGTTAAAAAGACTAAACCCATCTCATTGCAACACATATTTATTCAAGTTCTTCATGAGCCTTGCCTGTCTTACAAGCATGCCATGACCATGTCATTCAAAGGATTGAATTTAAGGGATTTTAAGAGCAGAAAAGAGAATGATATCATTAAGCAGTAGATAAGTACGTTTCTGTATTTGGCTAAATCTACCTTTCTCTAGAAAGACAATGATTGACAAGAGAGAGAAAAATAACCCACATGCTTAATTTACTGGGGTGTTTGTTTTATGAACTTGACTGCATAAAAAGAAAATGGATGGTGCAACCTAGGAATGTATCAAATATAGCAGAATATCAAATGATTATATAAAGGGAACTAAATGAGCCTCTACCTAGAGATGCCTGTATCTCTCATCAAGCATAACAATCAGGAACTAAGAAAAAATGGATCAATATCTCTAAGATATCTATCTATGTGCTTTATTATAGATATCAATTCAGTTAGCCAAAAACTTGGACTCTAAGTAAGAACAGGGCAAAAGTGAGATGCAGTAGGATAGACTAAGGGGAAACAGAAATTTTCATTAAGATGAAAAAAAGTACAAGCTCAAACTAGGGCAGAAAAGACTGGGAGAGAGAAGAAGCAAGTAGGTAAGGAAGGCTTCTGGGACTTGCATTTGCAAAACTGGCTAAGTCCATAGGTCTATATGCCAACGTCATTAGGATCCACTCAAGGAAAACTGATTTAAAAAGACTAATGCACAAGTACCCTACAAAATAAATTGTATCAGAATTTTCTATACGTGGATTTTAGTTTGGTTTTGTTTCATTTGATTTTAATTGCTTGGGTGACTCCTCAGGCTGAAGCATAATCAAAAAATCTTTATTAGCTCAGCAATTGATACTAACCTTGAAACACAAACTTGTTTTACTGCTGCTGCCCCATTCCTCTGGACATTTGGGTTCTGGAGTTGTTGTGGGCACTGGAGGGCGAGTTGCTCCTTCTGCCCACTGTTTGCACACAAATTTTGCCTTTTCCTCACATTTCAAAACATCCCACAGACCTCCTGCAGTGCCAGTTCTCATGGCAACACACCCTGCTTTTCGTCCTGCAACAATACATAAAGTAGACAGTCAAAGGTATTTCAAGTTGTGCGGTTAAAAACTACATTGGATGAGAAAATATCAAGTAGAGGTCTGTAGCATTTACCAATTGAATTGTGCTACCTTGAATCATATTTATATTTTATTTATGTGGCATATATCCTCAACTGAATTATGATTTCAAGTGTCAGGGTTTAGATAATGTTTTGTATTTTTAACACCTGGAAAATGTGTGCCAGACATAGACACTTAATAATACAATACATTTAGTATGATGAAATTTACCATAATGGCAAAAGCAGTGGTTTCATGTTTCTTTAAAATTTTGTTATTTGTCTCCACCAGCAAGGAAAACAAAAGTGAATATAAACAGTTGGGACCACACCACACTTATTTCTGCACAGCAAAAAAAAAAAAAAAAAAAAAAAAAAAAACCTGTAACAAAAAGATACTGTACTAAATGGGAGGAAATGTTTGTACTCCTTACATCTAACAAGATACTGATATCAAAGAACTACAAAGGACCCATGCAACTCAACAAAGAGAAAACAAGGAACCCAATCAAAAAATGGACAGAAGAGCTAAATACTCTTTTCCAAAGAAGACATACAGGTGATCAACAGGCACAAGAAAAAATGTCCATCATCACCTATCATCAGGGAAAAGCAAATAAAAACCATGACATATCACCTCATGCCTGTAAAAATGGCCCATACCAAAAAGAACAGATACAAGTGTTGGCAAGGTTGTGGAGAAAAATGCACCCCTTTACACTATTGGTGGGAATATAGACTGGTGCAGCCCCAAGGAAAACAATATGAAGGCTTCTCAAGTGATTATAAATAAATCTGTAATATGACTTAGCAATTTCATACCTTGGTACCTACCTGAAGAATAAAAAACACTTATTCAAACAGGAAATTGCAATTCCATGTTTCCAGCACAATTTACAATAGCCAAGATAGGGAAACACCCTAAATTCCCCAAAATAGATGAACAGATCAAGAAGATGTGGTATGTGTGTGTATCCAGATGTTAAAAATACACACACACACACACACACACACACACACACACAGGAATACTACTCAGCTATGAAAAAAGATAAACTATTGCCATTGTGGCAACATGAATTATGCTAAGCAAAATAAGTCAGAAGGAGAAAGACAAAGACAAGATGGTGTCACTCAAATGTGGTAGATAGAGAAACAAAACAGTCAGACAAAGATAAACTAAAAACTTAACCCTTAAAAGCTCACTAGAGAATGGAGCAACCAGAGGAGGAAGGGAGAACAAAGTTGGGAGAAAGTAGACTATGGCAGGGAATTATGGGTGCTTTGGTGGTGGATGTGGTATGGTACCTCTAAAACACAAGAATGGTGAGGCCCATTAACTCAATAAAAAATATTTTAGAGCCTTCCTGGTGGCGCAGCGGGTTGAACACAGCACTGTGAAGCTGTCTGCAGCCTCTGCAGCACCAGTTTGATTCCCGGCCCGCCAGGGAGAAACCCACATGGTGAGGCAGACCTCTCCTGCCGCGCCCGCTGCTCCCCTCAGCAGTGTACTTAGGTCCTTCTGCCTGTTGTGCTCCCTGCTCTGTCTCTGGTGAATCCTCTCACCCTCCCACACCTCAGGCCTATACACCAGCGCTTGTATAAATAAATAAATCTTTTTAAAAAAATGATTTTAAAAAATTTAAATAATAAAGATACTTGGAAGTTCATTTCCCCCACAACACCCACGTACTTCTCTCAGGACACTCTGTGAACAAACGTCAAAATGAAGCATAATCAAGCAGATTTTTTGCTAAGTTACTGAACTACTCTGAACTTGTTTTTTCATCTTAAAATCCAAATGTCATTCCATCAGAATTCTGATGAATGCCAGTATTAGTGTATAAAAAAGGACATGAAATAGAACGAGAAATATACTAAGCCTAATAGTTTTTAAATAGTTTTTAAAACTGTTTTACAGCTATGGTTATTTTCAAATTGTAACTGAGTCAAAGCTTTGAAAATGTGAAGCTTCCTTGCTGCTAAGATGGGGTGATTTTTTTTTAAAGACACTGAGCATTTAGAAGTAATTCTCAAAGTTACTGGGGAGGTATATCTTTTTAAAATATTTTGTCTAAGCTCCCCAATTCCCTATGGCTCCAATTTGATTCATTGTCTAAGAACATTCCAGGATTAACCTCTCAGAATCCTATGGCTGAGTGAGCAACACCAACAAAGTTAGAGTTAAGCCAAAAGTGTGAACCTAGCAATATTTTCATGTGTGGGTATAATTCTTAATATACCACGTTATTTAAGAATAAACTGAAACTTGATAATTTTTCAAAATAATTAAACAAGAATCACAGGATTCAAATTAATAATCTGCTTTCCTTATTGACAGGGGTGAATACAAAATTTAAATTCTCAAAGATTAGGATTTATTATTAGGTCAAATAGTAAATTCATAACAAGCTATTATTCCTTCTTGAACTTTTTACCCAGACAGAATGAAAACTGCTAGAAAAGATGCTGTCATACTAAATAAATAATGGCATATTCTATGATATCAGTATAAAACAAGGAAAAGACTTTCAAGATTCTGTTTTAGACACTACTTACTAAGGAAGGCAACTCAAAATCTATGAGGAGGCAGCATGGTGTTAGCGCAAAGAACACAAATTTGGGGATTATGCAGATTCACCTAAATCCATGCTTGCAAGCTAATTTTGCAAGCAAAATTTTCTAATTTATAAGAGTAGACCAAATTTTCTAGATCCTTTAACTTACTTTGGCGGTTTCTTATAAGGATAACAAAATCCAAGGCACAAAAAGAACTAAACAGGGTGGCATATCCCAGGTATTTAAATATCTGCAAAAGTCAGACAGCCTTACATTCACAGATGTCCTGAAAAGTTTTATAATCTTTTGATGTTATGTCTTCAGAAATAAGTTAACCATTTAGAAAATTTGTGACCATATAGAATTTCATAAATATTTTTCAAACAGGGCAGGGTCGGATGACTAGCTGTTTTCTCTCCCTTTTTTCCTTGGATCACTGCAAATAAAGATTTTTGCAAATTTTCCTTGGAACATTTTTAAAATAAATAGAGAATGAAATAGAGAATTATATCCATATCACAACTGATTGACAAGGTGTTTGGAAAGATAGACGATGAAAGAACAGGCTCTGCCCGATGGACTTGTCCATGAACAGAGGTCTCTGACAGCTGCACGTGCACATACCTGGCATTTCTGAATTCCAGTGAGTGAAGTGAACCTCTTCCTCAATAGTCCACTGAAAGGTACCTTTGTTTCGCACATCTGAAAGTCCTGTCCAAAAATATCTTTCAGGCCTCAATCCAACCCAACTAGTAAGAAAGGCTTGTTCATATCTTTAAAAGAAAAAAATAATGAACTAAGATAAATTTTAGAAACATTTATGTGAATTTTTCTATTAACATAAAAAGTAGCTCAATCCTATAAGCTACAAGTCAGTTGGTAATTCAAACACATTACATCTACTAAGATGTCATTTAAACTATGCAAACTTTCACTGAGGAAATGTGAGGGTATGAAGGAGGAGCACCATAACTCACAACTGACTAAATAAAATCACTCAACTAAATAGATTCAAACCACTTCACTCTACTCCTCACCAGTTCCTGTGTCCCTACTCAAAATGTAAGAGAATTCTGAAAATGACAACATTTGAAAATATGTTGTTTTTAAAACAAAAATCAGTCTGCCCTTGAAATATTTCAGCTCTTAGTTAAGCAAGTTGGTGTTGGGGTCGGGGGTGGAGGGTGCATGTGAAACATTATCAAGGACAATGAAGAGGAAAAATTTGGACTTTCTTCCCCTCCGCTCTGAACCAGAAAATGTATCAAGAAATATAGAGAAGCAGAGAAACAATCTCTAGAAAAAACTGGGAACAGCATCACAAATCCAACATTTTTCTCTTCCTTTGAATATCATCAATGTATTTGGCATAATCTGGTAATAATTCAGTTCAATTAGTAAGGCCACCAAAGTTTGTCCTCATTGACATTTAACAATGTAGGCAGCAACATAGGTGAAAATATCTCTTTTGAGATAAGGAAAGTGGTGCCAGAGTTTCTAGAAACCAACAGAAATGTCAGTGCCTCAGACAAAGTAGACAGGGAAATATAAAGAATTTAACAACAGCAGAATATTTGCTTGACTCTAATGTGAATAGTTACCGCCCAAACAAAACAATGAAATGAAAAGTCCCAATGTAAATGTAAGTATCATGAAAACACATAAGAGAAACAAAACTAAAATATAAATATAGGGAAACCTCTTTACATATTATATTGCTCCAACAGATCAAAGACCAATGACAGTGTAGATCAGAAGATGTCCCATGGTACTTACAGATTTATGTTCTGATTTTCAAACATTAACATATTATATTAGACATCTAACTGTACATGGAAGATTACATAAGTTGTATGACATCTTTCATCATTTTCAAAGGAATTTTTAATAGCAATAGTCTCTGCATTTGATTGGATCTACTTTGAAAGGTCAATAAAGTTTACTGTTTTAAAACTCAATAATTTTTACCTTTTACTGCAAGTGAAATGGACTTTTAAAGTTTCTCTTAATTTTCTCCTGTGCCTAATTTAGTGCTTCATAAAAAGTAGAGGGGAATAACTGAAAACTAAAATCTTGAAGATGCTTGAGACTTCAAAGGTCAAAACTTACAGAATAATCTATGTCCAAGTGATTTTCTTGACCTACCAGCCTAGTAAACCAAACAAAGAAAAGGAAATAACAGAAGAATGGAAAGAGTGAATAAAATATTCAGGAAATACCTCTTTCCTCTTTTTTAGTGGGGGGTAGTGGTAAAGTTAGAAATGTGGGCTATTTGAACTGACAAATTTTACGCACTGTTCCATCTTTAAATAAATGACATAACTGATCATTAAAAAGTTAGACCTATCAATTAATTTACTAGAGTGAACTATTCTGAATATTACTTTATAGTATTAAAAGTAGCAAAATATAGTGTAATCCATATAAGGATATGATTTTTAATGCTTCTTTATTTCAAATTTATTTACACCTCAAGATCACATTTATTCAGAAATTTAGAGCACAATGATACTTAGACTTTTCTTAAAATGTTTCATCATTAGACATTGTAAGATAAAATTAAGGTTGTTACATACTTGTCTTCAACAGTTGTTAGGTAAGCCTTCTCATTTGCACAAGTTTGGTTTGCTTCTGTAAATGTTGAAAGTGTGTGTCCAATCATATAGCAGTAGACTCTATGTCTTTTCCAGCCCTATTTAATATAACCAAGCAGATCGTCATGCATTTTTTAAGTGACAGTATTTTAATCGTTCCTCTATCATGAAACATAAATTGATAAAAAAATAGAAATGTCTAAAGCACACAAACCTGAATAACTGAAATGCAATGGAGATCATTTAGATAAATGAACAGTAGATTTTTCCTCATATGACGAATTCTTATGCAAAATGTAGGGGCAATAATTCTCCCCACTTCTGTATTCTCTAGTGAAAATTGTTTGGGAAATGTTTACCAAACAACTCAACACAGTGACTGAGATTTCAGTTTTAGAATAGGTAACCACAATGAGCACTTGGTATGATAGCAAGCCCCAGAGTCTACTGAGGCCAATAGGGACGGTAAATCTAAACTATATCATTTGGCCACAGGAGGAAACTTATCCAACTTGATTTTAGGTGGTTCCTCTCCCTACTTCAAACACACAGAAATGTTAAATGAATGTATAGTGATCAACAAACAAAAAGAAATACCTGAGTTTGAGAGAAAGAAGGGGAAACTTCCAGATACCAAAAATACATAGAAAACTAAAACTAGTATAGAAAAGCACAAGTTGAGATTGTAGTTCCCAGGGTGTATCAGACCTAGATTAAGGGTCCAGTGCCTAGGGACAAGGGCATCTGTGTCCATACAAATTATCTGGCCATCAGTCCCCATGAAGTGAGTAAATGGAGCTTAAGTACTTGCATGAACCCACAAAGGGTTGCCCTTTTATAAAATCAAAGTTCATAAACACTATCCACAGTACCAGGAAATGACAGATATTCTTGTCATCTGCCTAGGGGTCTCGGGATAGGAAACAAAGTTCTTCTGCTTCAAAATAAATGCCAAGTCTGTACCATAGAGAAATGCCTGTTCCAACCATACACTATCCACATCATACGAGAACCTACAGTCAAAAAAAAAAAAACAAATACAACTTGGACCTCAAAAAGAGAATCTCTTTGGCATTCAAAGAAGTAAAAGGAAAAATCACACAACAGAAATATTCCCACAAACCAGGTCATGTGCAAATGTGATTTTGAGGATTGGGGTGTGGGTGGGATGAGAATAAATTCACAATCAAAAGTCACAAATCATGAGAAAATGTCTCATTTTAAGGGAGATTCAAGAACTAAAATTAATAAAACAATCTGAAAATATATGTGTGTATATCTATATACATATATGCATATTTGAGATGATTTACATAGCAAAAAATAAAAGAATGAAAGATTAAAATGTTATGAATAAAAACAAGTAGATTCAAACATACAAAAAATTGTACTTCTAGAAAAGACATACATAAAGTTAAAAACTCAATGGCCAGATTAAATGTAGAAAATAGTTTCAGAAAGATTAGTAAATTGGATCAATGCAGTGCAAAGAAATAAAGATTAAAAGAGGTTCAGTGAACATGTGGATAAAAAAAAATAGAATGAGAGGGTGGAACATCAATATGAGAGAAGTTTCAGGAGTCCCAAATAAAACTTACTGATAATTTTCAAGAATTGAAAGAGAGATATGAAATGTCAAAATGAAGAAGCATTCTGAGAACTAACTGGGACAAATAAAATAAATCCAAATTGGGACACAATGTACTAAACCTACGGAACACAAAGATAATAAAAGTATTTTTAAATCAGAGACAACATAGTGTGCCTTCTTTAACAAAAGAAGAATTTGTCTAATAACAGGAATTGCAATAGCAAAATAAAGGTCAAGAGAAAATGAAATCACATATAAAGCACTGTAAGAAACCATTTGTCAATCTAGAATTTCAAATTGACCTACCTAAAGTATTATTCAAGGTAAGGATCAAGTCAAGACATTTTCAGACAAAGAGAGGGAATTTTCCACTCCCAGATCTCCAGTGCAAGAATAACTAAAAAGATTTACCTGGGTAAGAAGGAATTTAAAGTCAAGAGGAATGAGTGGGTTAAAAATGTACACTGAGCAAAGAAATCAATAAATATCTCAGTAATGTGGGTCTAATTGCTTGAATAAATAGCAAAGATAATTAAATGTGAGTGGGAAGTTAAAGAATGGACTATGGGTAAGATCTGTAGGTTAGTTAATAATTCTGTATCCATGTCAATTACTTACCTGTGATAATATGCTCTGGTCAGATAAAAGATGCTATCAGTGGAGGAAGTAGGGTTGATGATACAGGGGAACTCTGTACTCTTTTTTTCAACTTCATGTGTCTAACATTACTTTAAATTCTTAAGGTTCTTAAAAATATTTAAGTAGCCTAATAATCTTCATTTTATTCAGCTAGCTCCTAGAGGTATTGGTTAATTTTAACTTCAAGTCAAGAATGCATTTTAAAAATATAAGGCGAGGCATTTGAAAAAAATAGAAGTAGAATGTATCATTCCTAACCTGATTAAGAGGTAAGAGGATAAAGATATTCCATTGAATCAATGGAATGTGGGGAAGGAGAAACAAAAGAGAAAAAAGAATACAGAATGGTAAAGAAAATTAAGATTGCTGAAACAAATACAAATAGAACAGTATGCAAAGCAAATCTAAACTCCTACTTGGTAGTTAAAAGCAAGTTCCTGAAAGTAGATTAAACATTAAAATGCAGATATATATATATATATATATATATATATATATATATATATGTTTGCAAGAGTCATTCCTGAAACAGGATGATATAGAATGATTGAAAGCAATCAGTTAGAAAAAGAGATTCCAGAGAAATACCACACAAGAGAGTTCCTGTGGCAATATTATTATTATTATTTTAAATTGACTTCATGGTAAAAAAAAAATAATTACAATGAAGAAAGTAATCACATAATAATTGAAGGGCCAATTCATCAGAAAGATAAAACAACACAGCTCAAAATATATAAAGCAAAAGATGGCAGAATTACAAGGAAAATATTAGGACTATAGATAAAATATTAGGAATATAGACTCTATGGATAATATAATTGCTGAATTATATCTAAATAGATCTCTGAACCCCAATAATCATAAGTCATTCTGTTCAAGCACACATGGAATATTTATAAAACCTGACTGTGAACTAGAATATAAAGGTCATCTCAACAAAATAACTAAAACTTTACATAACAGTATAGAGAAATTAAAATCAATAGTACCTTCCAATTATTTATTAAACTAAAAAACAAAACCCCCATTACTTTCACCAAAACCCCTACTACTTCAAACATACACACACATACACACTTTTAAATAATCCATGGGCCAAAGAAATTCTAGCCTCCCTGGTGGCCTAGGGGTTAAGTCTCAGCACTGTCACAGCTATGGCCTGAGTTCCATCCCCAGCCAGGAGCTAACTCACATATGGCACAGCAGAACAATCCTGCCTTGCCCCATCCCCTCCCCAATCTCCTTAGAGTATATTTCAGTAAATCTGCCTGCTCTGCTCCCTACTCTGTCACTGATGAATCTTCTCATTCTCTACACCTCTGGCCTACACCCCAGTTCTTCCACTCAAAAATTAAAAAAAAAAGAAAGAAATATTAAAGGACATCAAAAATAGAATTTAGAAATAAATCATAATAAAAGCACTATATAAAAAAATCTTCATGGCTGGAACAGTTTTAACTCTACCTTTTATATCCATATGTATCTTTTGTTTAATGTCACATCCATTAGTTCCAACATCTAGAACTCCTAGTGGTATATGTTATAATTTTGGATTTCAAACTGATTTGAAGGATTTCTAGTCACCCTGAAAAAGATGACCTCTGTGCACAGAGGATTTGAATTTTATCTGTCTGACATGCTAGATATTACCAACTCGGAATCACTCTGTTAACTTCTTAGTTGAAGACTTCACACATAAGTAGCAATGACTTGAAAAACAGAATCCTAGATCTTTATGACAACAGGCCTGTGGTTTTGAATTTCTGAAATTCTTGAAATGACCCCTCCACCAAGCAGCCAGACCTTGTTATCTTCCTTTGCTAGTGAGTAAAATATTTTTTGCAATCTTCTCAGTTATTTGAAGATGTCACTGCCTAGTGTTTTAAAACTAGCCAAATAATCCAAAGTCTCTTAAGTTGTAGTTTTCTTTTCTGTCTAATAAGGAACAAAATATTTATCCTTTAAGACCAATGAGAGCACGTAACAACACTCAATAGTTGCTGATATTTTCTTAAAGCTATCATTACTAGCCTAATGGTTATATTAGATTTTACCAGCAATCACTGATATTACAATCAATAGAAAAAATATATAAAACTTAGATTGATTATATAGAACTAATATAAGAATTGTTTATTTATCAAAAGTACAATAATATTAGTAATCTCAAGCACATGCATGTGATTAGGAAAAGAATATGTAAGTGGGGCCTCCCCGGTGGCGCAGCGGTTGAGCGCTGGGCTACGAAGCTGCCTACAGCCTCTGCAACGCTGGCTGGATCCCCAGCAGCCAGGTGAGGGCCCCACATGGCCCCACATGGCCCCACATGGCACGCAAACCTCTCCTGCTGCCCGCTGCTCCCCTCAGCAGTGTACTTCGTCAGTCTGCCTGTTCTGTTCCCCACTCTGACTCTGTTGAATTCTCTCACCCTCCCACAGTTCTGACTGTATCCAGTGCTTGTATAAATAAATAAATCTTTAAAAAAAAAAAAAAGAACATGTAAGTGGACTGGAGACAGAATGGGATCCTAGCCTTGCCTTTTTGTGACTCTAAGAAAGTTACAGCTTCTCTAGAGTGAAAATTTCAGAATGTAAACTTTGAAAGGGAGATTTTGATCATCACTAAGATTCTTTATGTCTCTGTGGTTTTCTGTATTCGTCATTTATTTGTACAGCACTAAATTATGTTTCATGAAGTCTGATACTTATTATAAGATGATTTGATCACAACATGGCCCCTTATAAAGGAAATTAGCTTCTTTATTTTTACGCAAGAAAAGTGAGGAAGAAAAAGAGAGGAATTGAGCAATTCAGCAATTGGATAGAAAAGTGATCAACAGGTATGGTGTATTTTGCACTTTGTTTATGCCTTCAGATACATTATTTCACAGAAATAACTTGCTTTAATCTCAAAGAAATATAAGAACTTTGGGAATTTATCACTATCTTTCAGGTAAGGTTGAAGCACAATATCATTCATGACTTTATTTAGTTTAAATGAGTTACTGCCAGTTACTACCATCTGACCTCCATCTCCTGCCTCCCAGAGCAAGGATCTACTAAGAGAATCTCCATCAGAAGTAGGATTGTCAGAAATATTGTACATGGGAGAAGTGGCTAAGGAGTTTATCATCTTCAATTTAAAGTTACCTACTGAAAATATTCTTTTTTTTAAAGATTTATTTATGTATGCATACAAGAACTGGGGTATAGGCCAAAGGTGCCAGGGGATGAGAGGATTCTCTAGAGACAGAGTGGGGAATAGAACAGGCAGACTGACTGAAACACATTGCTGAGGGGAACAGCTGGCAAGACAAGAGAGGCCTGCTGCGCCATGTGGGTATCTCTCTGGCTGGCTGGGGATTCAACTCATGCTGCAGAGGCTGCAGATAGCTTCATAGTGCTTAACCCCTTGTGCCACCATGGAGGCCCACCTACTGAAAATATTCTTACAACTATAGGATCATAGACTGCCAATACCTCAGTGACTTGCTTTAATCTCATTGCCCTCACCAGGTTCATTTTACTTCCTGTTCTCTCGCCTCCAAATCCAATGACATTCTGGAAGAAGCTTCAGATCATGCGTACCCATATTAACAGTAGGTAATACTTGAACAATGATATATGGAGAAGAATGATACCAAACACTATCAATAAACCACTGAATGCTTTTAACAGTTGAATCATATGGCTACGTTTCATGACATTTGTTCTGACAAAAATAAAGCACTTTCCCAGACAAAAATCAAGCCTAGTATCTCACATAAGATTTGCTGATCTGAAATCACTGTGTACTTACCTTCTGGCAGCCTAAGTCGACCACCACTGTTCCTGGTGCTTGGGTTTGTGATTTCATCTTACATATGTAGCCAAGAGGTCTCTCACAGGCCCGATCTGCCCAGAATCCATCCTATAAAAGCAAAGGGAAAACCTTTTAATGACTATCAGTTGTTTGACATAGATACTAATTTCTTTCAATTGTCCCTAAGTAAGGAAAACAAAGATTCAAGGTGATTAATATAAAATGGCATGGATGAGAAGGGAAAGGTAAATTTGATGCTAATAAAATGTAAAAGGAGATTGTAGCCCCAATATGTTTTTATATCTTAGATTTCCAAGTCTATATTTGGAAGGACTGAGTGAGAGAAACTAAAGATGCTTAGAAACCCTTTCGTGATAGTAACAAGAGGTTTGCATGCACTTTGCTCAGCACCATTCCCATCAGTTATTTTCAGCTTAACCAAGTACATATGAAGTTATCAAGAAAAAACTCCCTGATGCAACACACCAAATGAAAATACACCTGAAATCAGTCATTCCTCTTTCTATCCATGAGTGTCCTCCTAGATCTAAGACTCCACCTTCCCCTCTGCCTCAGATTTCACTTTCCCCCACCCTTTGAGATTTTACCTTAAAATGACTTCTTTGCTGTTCCTTTAACTGTGAAACACCTTGGAAAATGTTTTCTGTATTGTCTGTCTCTATTTTCTCACCTTTCACTCAGTCTCAAACCCTTGCAGTCTGGCACTCAATCCTTCAGCCAGAGAAACATTCGTAAATTGTGAACTAGGTCTTGCTACTCCCTGGCTAATGTTTTCTCAACCTCAAAACTAGTGTTTCTACAAATACTTTTACTTCTCTAATGTAGGGTAAGGTGAAAGGTATCATGTTTTTCTGCTCTCCCGCCATTAGGATAGATGACAGAACCCTGCAGTCCTGAATGCATGACTGATTGTGGGCACCTGTAACTCTATGTAAGTACAGATTCCAAGCAGTGAGACCCAGAATAGATCTAACTATGTCTACCCCAACTGAGAGCAATGAGTCAAAATCAGAACTAAAGTTCAGATTTGATCAAGTCATATATATTGTATTTACAACCCATAATTGGAACAATCTAAGTATTAGTATATTGCTTAGTTTCATTCTCAAACCAAAAGTTTCTGTCTGATGCTTTTCTGGCCCTCTTAAAAATTTGATTTTGCATAAAACAGCTGGGACTCCATCAAATTAAAGGGCTTCTGCACAGCAAAAGAGACAATAACAAAAACAAAGAGAAACCCCACCAACTGGGAGAACATTTTTGCACACAACACTAATGATAAAGGACTGATCACAAAAATCTACAAAGAGCTGATGAGACTCAACAACAACGAAGAAAATAATCCAGTCAAAAAAATGGGCAGAAGAGCTAAGAAGAAACTTCTCTGAAGAGGAAATGCAAATGGCCAACAGGCATATGAAAAAATGTTCAACATCACTTGTCATCAGGGAAATGCAAATCAAAACTACAATGAGATACCACCTTACACCAGTGAGAATGGCACATATTAAAAAAACTAGCAACAACAAATGTTGGCGAGGTTGTGGAGAAAAAGGAACTCTCCTGCACTGTTGGTGGCAGTGCAAACTGGTCCAACCACTAAGGAGAGCTGTGTGGAGATTTCTGGACCTACTAAACATAGAGCTTCCATATGATCCAGCAATTCTGCTCCTAGGTATTTACCCAAAGGACACAGATACATCAATTCCAAAGAGCACCTGCACCCCTATGTTTACAGCAGCACTGTTTACAATAGATAAGCTTTGGAAACAACCCAAATGCCCAAAAACAGATGACTGGATCAAGAAGATGTGGTACATATACACCATGGAATATTACTCAGCAATCAAAAAAGATAAACACATGCAATTTGCAGCAACATGGATGGAGCTGGAAGGGATCATGCTCAGCAAAATAAGCCAGAAAGAAAAAGAAAAATACCAGATGGTCTCACTCATAGCAGGAATCTAGAAAACTTAAATAAGGGACCAGGAAAAAGAATAATTATAAGAAAGAAAATATCAAAATCAACAAACAACTATGAACCAGAGACACTCTATGGGGGGTGAGGGGCGAGGAAAGGAGGGCTTGGGGTCAAAATAAGGGGGTTGTAATTGTATGGGGAATATAAAAATAAAGTTTAAATAAAAAAATAAAAAAATATATAAAAAATTGACTTTGCTAGATAATTAACTGAGAGAAAATCAAAAAAGTAAATTTTGGTTCAGAATTCATCTATGTCAATTAAACCAGTCTAAATAATGTAATAAGGGAAGTAGAAGGAAAAATTCCTTGTTTTTTGGTAGAGATCAGTAATCCCAGTTGCCTTACCTTGCCTTTCATCACAGCACAATCTTCCTGCCTGTTGTTTTCATGACTTGGTTCTCCACGAAGCCATTTGGTAAATGTCACAGGAGTCCCATCACTCCATTCAAAGTACATCTGAATCTTGATGTCATTTAAACCAATCCATAGCTCATCATTTGGCTCTGAATGGGAAGAAAAACACAGAGGAATTTACATAGTCTTCTTTCCAAAGGAGAGTCTTTGGCTTTATCAACATCAGCTCCTCTCCCTTAATACTATAGCTGTCAAAAAGTCTATCCTCTTGATAGACTGTAGACTGAGAGGTCAACTACATTTCATACCGTCAGTTTTAATTTGTGTAGTGTATTCTTCACATTGCAAAAGTAATTGTATTTATTTAACTTGCCAGCATGAAACTCAGGTGGGTCTATCATTACTATCAATTGTGTGAACTTTCTTCTTGTTATAAATAACACACCACACCAATGGCATGCAATTTTAAAATATGGTAGTTTATCTACATGTAAGTCTGTTTGACTACTAATAAATCTTATGAATGTTTCACAATAATATTACTTTTTTACTGTGTTGTTATCAAGAACATTCTAGTTGTTTCTTTTAAAATTCAATCACTAAAATAAGAGTGAAAATGATCTATATAGTGACAAGATACATGAGCTGAGGACTTTAGGCTGTCTCCTAACATTTGGCAACTACTTATTAACCCATAAATATTGATACGATTCTATAATCAGTTTTGCCATGAAACACCAGAGAAGCACAAATGATCAAAGTTAAAACAAAAACAACCAGCTCCATTGCATCTAATCTAAATTTGGGTTTCCTCAACAGAGAAACAAATCAGGTATAGCTACAAAATGTGCTAAATTTCTCTTGAAATTCTATGAAGAATTTTAATTTTTATCAGCAGATTTACTTCTAAAATTCTAAATATACTAATTAAAATGGGACAAAATTAAAGACAAAATATCATAGTTTAAAACATACATTTCCAAATTGTAAAAAAATGAAACTTATTTTGCACTAATGGGAATTCCATCATGAATTATTGACATTCATGAAATGGTAAAAATAAAAACACCTGCCAGAGGATTGTAAAGATGATGTTGTAGAAAATGAGAAATATGCCACACTACATAGGAATTACCCTAAATGACTTAGCCTTCTTCCTCCTAAAAGTTGTCACTCAGTTTTGCTTTTGGAGAAGTCCCTGACTGGACCAGTGCCAGACCCAGCAGATGTTTCCAGAGTCACGAAGCAGGAATGACATTGTCAGGATGATCCCTTTTTCTTTCACTTAATTTGGCAGATCATAATCTTTTGAGCAGGAAACATAGTCTTTAAAATGACCCCTCAAGGACTTAAGTTCAAGATGAATGAAAACATAAAACCCCAAGTCCTACAATTACAACAAAGTATTAAGTTTCCTATAAACATTTTTCTCACTAAACAGCTCTCCCCTTATAACTTTTGTAATCCTAAACCCAAACTTGACCCTACAAAAATATATAATACATGAGAATAAAGTTGTCACATCGATTGCTATAAATCAGTTAGGGAAGCTGTCTCAGTTGATGTAGTAATAATGTACATGTACAGCTCCCAATTTATCCACAGTGTGCCCATGATTAATATAAAAGATACCTCAATCAAATAAAAAAGATATTCCAGACTTTTAATTTTAAAACGATGATTAAAATTTTATAAGATTTTTTACTTTTACCAGCACTAATTTTATTGTTTTCAATCAATTCCTCTCAATAATTAAAAGGGACCGATTCTCTAGGAAAAATTCACTAATTCTCAAGTTAATTTAAATTAATTTAAATATCATCTAATTTCCCAAAGTAATTATACTAATAAATACATAAGGTTTTCCTATCGCTATATCATGTTATATAAAGCAGAACAAAATTTGCAAATTTGGCCAATTTTTAAATAATCTGTTTCCTACTGATTCATTGGCAAACCTTCTTACCTTCTATTATTACCAAGACATACAGCATGATATAATTCAGATATATCATTTTGATTCTATTTTTATTGTCTAGTCTGAGTTCTGCAAGATAGGTAAATATAGAACAGTCAGGAAATCATTCATAGATGCAGTAGGCTGTTACATGACCTACCACATTCATGGAGGTGAATAGAGGAGAAACAATTTCATTTGGCACAGATGCCAAGAATACAAATGTTTTGGGGTTTTCTCAGTCTTTCTTTGTGATGAGTATATTTTTTCTTATTCTGTTTGCTCACTGCTTTCTCCTCTTCCCTCTGCCACCCCCCAGCCCCCAACAATTTTTGGGCAGCGTGTGTCAGGAAGCAGTCCCCACCATCACCACCATCCATTTCCTCTTGTTTTGCTTGCTGGAAATGAACAGCTGCAGCTATTCAGCAGCCTCATCAGTGGAAGCAGAAAATGATAATCATTTAATCAGCAAGTGCTGCTGGGTGCCCATTATCATCAGGTCCCTCCTCTCCTCTCAGGCTCAGCATTTCCAACTCATTTTCCCACTTTGTTCCTGATAGGGCCAATTTTTGAAAACTTCACTTGAGTTTAGGTAGTAGATTTTCCACAGATTTCTTAGATTATACACCTAAAATTAACACTTAATTTTCCTTAAAAGTTTTAGGCCTATCTTTAACCACCTCAAAAAAATTTTCTATTTCTCTTGCTGCTCAACCTCCTAGCAGCCTTTGTAGGTTAAAAATAAAATCCCAGGATGTGATGGTTCACTAGAGAACTTTCTTGTGAGAGAAAATATCAGCCTTAAAAGAGAAAATACATACACACACACACGCACACGCATATGAGTAATTCCCCAAAAAATGAAATCTTAAGTTTAAGATATATTATCATCAAAAAACAGTATTTTAAGAACTATGCCTACATTGATTACATATTAAAAGTGATGAAAATTCTTTAAATTCATATCCAATGCTTAAAGCTTAGGCATGATTGATACTTATGATTAAGTGTATGTAATTCAAGTATTTAATTTTTTAATTCAAATTTCTTAGCTTAACATAAATGATTACATTTTCTAGAAATGGCTAGTGAGTGGGAAAGAGCAGAATCAATCATATTTTTGATGTAAGAGTTCTTACCATAGCCCAGCTGGGAGAAAATGAAGTCAAATTCCTCGATGCTGTGTATACTGGCTAGATCGCCACCTTCCTTCCTACATGCCATCAAAGCATCTCTTTGGATTTTCTTCTCCTCTTTGTGAATTTTGTAACAATGACCTGCATAGGACAACCACTGACTTGGACAACTAGTGGGCACATCACTTTCTGGAAGAAAAAGTTTGGAAAACATTTAAATGGGAAGATTTTTTGATTGTAACCCTATTTTTTCTCATTCTGTCTACAAAACTGTTCACAGCTATAGACCAATAAAGATAACTCTAATTTTCATTCTTTGCCATACATATCCACTAAAGAGAGACTAGGTTGTACTTGCTTTTAGCCTAAGAAGTATATGGATTCCTCTTTCATTTCAAAATAAGGCTAAATAGGAATTTAAAATAAAAAAAAAAACTGTAGCTTCAAACAATGCTAGGATAACATAAATTGCCTCATTTTCTCTGCATGGTATTATTACCAAGCCTGTACTCAGCATGCTATGCTAATTCTGGAGGTGCAAAAGATTGAAATATAATACAGTCCCTGGATGATTTCAATTTACCTCTGTTTTATGGTCACTAAGGAGTCAGGCATTCCTCAGAAAAAGAGCAAAAAGGTGTGTTATGTGAAATATAATGGATTGGGACATGGGAAGACCGAAGAGTCCCTGATGCCAGAACAGCAATAGGGGGACACCAGTACCTCTGGACCCATCACTACCATTGTTTTGCTCCCAAAAAGAAGACATGTGATATTGCGGGATTTTGATTAAGAAAATTTTCTTGCAAAACCTGAATTTGCAGTAAGTTGTGTGTTCTTGGGCAGGAACATAAACCAAAATATCTATCTATCTATTTACACACACTTTTAATAATACTAATAATATTAAACTATCCATCCTTATTGTATTCTAAACTAGAAAACTTTTGTGATGATACTTGTAAATTGCAAGCCCCCCCCCACACACACACAATCATTATTTAATTAAATCAGTAATAGTGGTCAACATTCTAATTACTGCTACTAATAGTTATGGTGAAACTTTATAATCTTGATTGTATATTACAAAAATGGATTGTAATAATGATGACTGGAGAAAGTGAAGGTAAAAATGTTCAAAGGCAAAGACTCACTTTACTCCTCCCTGTATGCCTGAGAATTGGCAGAGGGTCTGGTACATGCAGGGGCAATGAATTTTAGTGGAGAAAAAGAAGTGAAGCTGTACTTGCTAAATAGCTGCTGTTGTGACCATTTTATGAATATTATTTCAAAAAACAAGTTAACGACATATTTTACTTAAAGAGGGAAAATATTACCAAATGAACATCAATTAACATAGTTATGTTTGATATTAAATTTCTCAAGTGTGCTGCCTTAGTTCAATATAAAAACATTCAATTTTTTAAATTCACTCAATAAATTCCTGAAAACCATTTTCCCTCAAAGGAGGGGATGATATGCAACATCTTTGTTTAAACCTAGAACTCTGGACACAGAAGCTGGACACAGTAGTCATTCATTCAAGTAAATGAGCAATCGTGATGACCAAACACTATTACTGTAGTAGGAAAATGCATATTTAAAAAAAATTCTATTCCCTCAGTGCAAGTTAGATTCTATACATTCTAGTGGTTACCAAAAAACTTTTTCTAAATGTTAGTGTAACTCTGGAGCCCTCTAGTGGGATATTTTAATTTTGTTGCCTGGAAGCTGAACACAATGTCAGTGAATGCAGAGAAGTTCAAATACTGAACACGTGAATTCTCATTTTTAATTTAAGAAACATAAAAACAACCAATGAAGTGGTCTTCCCTTAGAGATTTGTTCCTCTTAAGCTGTATAGAATTATAATGGAAGCCATAAATGTGAGCCACAGACATAATTTTAAATTTGCTGGTAGCCATGTTAAATAAAAGATAAAAGGAGCAGGTAGATTTAATTTCAACAATGTATTTACTGGACCCAATATATCGCAAGTATTTTCATTTCAACATGTATGCAATAAAAAAATAAGTCATGAGATATTTTACTATTTTGTCATGCTAAGTCTTGGAAGGCCAGCACGTATTTTACACTTACAGTACATCTCAGTGGGAACCAGCCACATTTCATATGCTTATCTGGTTATGTGATTACAGAACTGGACAATGCAACTCTAGAGATCCAGGAGTTATGGACAATCAGGGCTGTACGCACCAGTGGCATGCTGGTGGCTGACATGGTGTTCAGCTTCCAGCAGCAAAATTAAAATATTCCACCAGAGGGCTCCAGGGTGGGGAGGTCACCAATCATGTATGCTACATAATTTCATCTCTGAGCTGCCTTTTCCAAGTTCTGAGTTTACTTGATTTTATAGATAAAGTAGAATGATTAATCCAGGAAGTATAAAGTTATTCACAAACCAATGTCAAGTGGTTAGCAAGTGAAACAAGTTGAGACACAGCAGAAAATAAAAATAATTTACTGACTGCTTGACAAATGGAACAAAATTTCATGGGAAGAAGAGGTTTTAATATTTCCATTTTACATAGGAGGGATCTAAACCTGAGGAGTTAAGGAACAAGGCCTGAATTCTGTCTCCTCTTCAAGGAAACTATAAAATGGCCATTTTCCTCTCAAAGTGGCAATTCCATGCCTCTAAAGGAGAATTACACGAGCCATTCCAGGAAGAAACAATTATACTGTTTCTCCGATGGGAGGATTAGAAGAGATGGAACACAAAAATGATTTATTTTCTTGCACAGGTATAACGGTCACCCTATAAACTTAATCAAATCCAGTTACTGGTCCATCATCCATATGGAGATCTTGGCCATATCTATAGCTATTAAATTGTAAATACACCTACTCTTTGATCCAGCAACTCAATTTTTAGAACTGGTTACATGCATGAAATGATACATGTATAAAGTTTTCACTGTAGCATTATTTGTAATAATAAAAATTGAAAGTAAACAAAGGTCCACTTAAAGAACTGATCAAAAATATATATATGGTCTCTGTAATGGTTATTTTGCAGCCATAAAATAAATTCAGAAGGTCTTCATATACTGTATGAAATGATAGCCAATGTAGTTATTAAGTGAAAATAGTAATAAATATATATTTATAGCATATTGTTATTTGTATAAACAGCAAAAAACAATAATAAACAATTTTGGTTTCACATTCACAGCATAACTAGTTAAGAATACACACACAGAGAAACAGTTATTTACCAGGTACGGCAACTGAAATGTTAGAAGTAAGAGGTGGAAGAAAAATATCATTTTGTACCTTTGCATTTTCTAGTCATATCAAGCATATTTTAAAATAAATCCAATTGCTTTTAAATCAAGGAGAAAGATGTCAAGAATGACACACTGTCAGATTTCCCCAACAGAATATAAATATATACACATGCCTACATAAACCCCTTTAAAGTATTGTATCCCTCCCAACACAGCTGACTGATAGTTTAAAAAAATTGTTAATTTAAAGAATGGATGTATTTTTGCCTTAGTGGTTTAATCCTTCTACAAAGTTGAAATAGAAAACACAAGTGGTGGAGAACTTGAGTGCCTTGATGTTGGGTGTGGTGTGGTAACAGACCTCTGAAGAGATGTCATCCTGAACCTCTTAATCATATACAGTGTTGTAAACTAATGTTACCTCAATAAAAAAATATAATTAAAGCTTTTTCCTAGAGTCTAGGCTTTATATAAAGTTTATCAGTCTGTTTGGGTGTTTATATCCATTTATCTGAAGACTCAATGTCAGATGCTGAACTTAATAGCACTGGAGCCCAGATAGGTCCTTAAATAGTGGGAATATAATAAAAACATCTCTTTCTGACATGTATTTCCTAGCTGAATTCCAGTTTTGTCACTTGTGCTAGTTCTATAGCCTCTCATGCACAATATGTGAATAATAATGACAGCCCCTTAGAAAAACTGTGAAGATCAATTCCCATTTGTGTTCTGCCTAAGGCTTTGCATATAACCTGACACCAAAGCACAGCACATTCAGGAAATGTTAAAAGCAATGATAGCAGCAAACCAAAAGAAATTTTGTAGGAATATCAAGTTTATGCAGAATTCTCAGCAAAACCTATGGAGTCTTTTCCTAGTTATGACTAGGTTGTAATTTTATCCCTAAATTCCATATTTTACACATTTCAGGTTAAATAGATCACTTACCTGAGGGAAAAATGAAAGAATTCAAAGTTGTGTTGCCCTTTTTACAAATATAGCCAAGTTTCTGAACACATTCCAGATTTTCCCATTTAGCGCTTTTCCCGGGATTTAGTGACACACAGCTTTTTCCAGGTTCCACTGATGGACTTCCTTTAGGAAAAAGGAAAAATTAAGGTGGGGCTATTGTAGATATTGCAGGTAGACAGACACAGAGCCTCACTTTTTTTTTTAAAGATTTATTTATTCATGCATACGAAAACCGGGGTGCAGGCCGGATGTGCGGGAGGGTAAGAGGATTCACCAGAGACAGAGCGGGGAACAGAACAGGCAGGCTGACTGAAATACACTGCTGAGGGGAGCAGTGGACGAAACAGGAGAGGTCTGCCATGTGTTGTGAGTATCTCACAGGCCGGCAGGGATTGAACCTCCGCTGCAGAGGCTGCAGACAGCTTCACAGCGCTGCACTTGACAGCCTGCGCTATCAGGGGAGGCCCAGAGCCTCACATTTTCACCCTTGGGATTTAATGGATCCCCATTCTGTCTTTTGCTACACAATCACAAATAAACACTTACTGCAGAACAAAGACATGATGGGGGTCTCTTTGTTCTTTTGTTGTTGGATCATTCCAATGCCTAAAATCCTAAAATGTTGACTATACAAGTATACTTTGAAATAACATTTTTTTACATTACCAATGAGTAAATTAAGACTTTAAACCTGAGCAATCTTCATACTGAGTTATGCTATGTATAATGGAGCAAAAGAATACATGATATTCCAAACTTTGCAAATACCTCCCAAAAAAAATCAGTCAAGCTAACTGTGAGGATCAGGTGAGAGAAGTTCTGCACCTGGGAAGACATTCTCCAATTAGAGAGAGGAGACAGGAAAGAAAAATAATGGAAAGGGGAAGAGACTTGCTAGAAACTGAAATGTGCCTTATAAATGCTGATCAAGTGTGCCTGGAACAAACACTATTTCTCAAAATTTTCAACTCAACCTACTTAAGAATTTCCTTTTTTTTTTTTTTCTATATAAGAACTGGGGTATATGCCAGAGGCATGGAGAGGGAGGAGTGAGGATTCACCAGAGACAGAGTAGGGAGCAGAACAGTCAGATCTACTGAAACACACTGCTGAGGGGAGCAACAGGTGAGACAGGAGAGGTCTGTTGTAAGTTGTGGGTTAGCTCCCAGGCCAGGGAGCAAATTCAGGGAACTCAGTCTGTCGTGGTGATGGCACTGAGACTTAACCCATAGGCCACCAGGGAGGCCTTAAGAATTTTTTATTAGCGATATCCTGCAGGGGCGGAGGAGGGAGAGGGATCAGAGGGAGGGTGGGAGGAGCACAGGGGACTGAGGTGATGGCACAGTGGTTCATTGGTGAAGGAAACTATGGGGACTACACCTGAGGGGTTGGGGGGAAGCAAATCTTGTTTAAAAATGAACAATGATGTAAAAAATAATTAAAATAATTTAAAAAATATAAAACTAATGGTAAGCAATATCTTAAAAAAAAAAATCCTCACCCATAAAGTCAAGGGTATCTTGTATTTCCTTGAAGCAATGTTTACTCACCATGTTTCAGACAAAAAGAGAGCTGATTAGTATTGGAAGACTCTAGCTATAGCTTGTAACAATCATGTACTGAAGGAATACTTTGCGAGTAAGACCTAACCAATTTAAAACCCAAAACAGCTCTAAAATTTTTCTCATGTTTCAGTATCTACTCTGAATATCATTTTACCAATGTTCTTTTTTAGAAGTGTAAGTCAGTAATATAGAAAACAGAGGATCTAATTTTCTAAGCCAAATACCAAAAATATTCAATGGTTTTAAGAAAGAAGTCTGGCTAGATAAAAATAACCCACATCCCAATTTTTCATAGCAGAACTAGTAAATGAAGATGTGGCCCATGTAAATGAAGATGTGGTGGCCCATGTTCCAGTTCTCTCCTTTCCTACATCCACAAAACATCACAAACAGTGAATGTACTCTCTCCCTGAAACCAAGATTGGCTCTGCAGTGGGGTTAGGGAGGGGGTGAAATCTGATTTGTATGCAGTGCCTCAGGCAGTTCCCAGTTTTTGGTATTGGTGAATAAAACCAAATTATTTTGTTGTCATTGGCCTTCTTTTCTCTGGATAATTGCTATATATGTAAAACATATTATTATTTATGTATTCTTTTACATTCTGTTACCTGTATATTATGACAATGTAGAAATAATTAGTTCAGAATATTTTCCATCCTCCAAAAACTATTAATAAAAACTTGCCAAATCTTGATCAATGTCCAAATGGGATTTTCTACAAACTACCTATTTTCAACCACAGTGCTGATGAATTATTTTGCTAGTATGGAACATTCACCTGTTACTAATATAGATTTTTAATCCAACTCTATTAGATAGTGGTGTTAAAGTAGACCTTAAGATCATTATAAGATTTTAAATACCGGGCCTCCCTGGTGACACAGCAGTTGATCGCAGCCTCTGTAGCGCCACAGGTTCGATCCGCCGGTTCATCCCCCGCCACTGGTGAGGGTCCACATGGCATGCAGACCTCTTTTGCCGCACCTGATGCTTCCCTCAGCGGTGTATTTAGTCAGTCTGCCTATTCTGCTCCCCACTCTGGTTCTGGTGAATTCTCTCACCCTCCCATGCTTCTGACTGTGCCCAGTGCTTGCATAAATAAATAAATCTTTAAAAAAAAAAAGATTTTAAATATCTGTAAAACCATTATAATAGTGACAGATAATCTCATGGCTGAAGATAATGAAAAATATCCCAGCCCCAGAGAGCTTAAACTCACTTAAATTTATAGTGTATGTGTGTGTAGATATAAATAAATATGCACACAATCTTTGAAGATTGTATGTAACATGCTATACTATATATAACCAATTATACATTTTATATGCAAGCACTTTTACTGGAATATTTTATAATTCAAAAACATGACAAAAGATTTGAAGGTCAGTCACATAAAAAGTGCAAAGCACTTTGTCAAACTTTAAAAATGTATGTCGGATAATCCTTTCAAAGATGATGGCAGGCTGAGGCAAAATTGAGGACAGAGTAACAATGCTGGAACCCCAAAATTCATGGGTAAGAACAGCTACAAAATTCAATTTTGAATATCATATGTACCAAATCACATATACTCAGAGAATATATACATTAATAGAGATCTGTATTGATTTGTGTGATAATCTGCCAAATGATTCTTTATCCCCAGAAACTGATGTAACTTCATGGTTTTAGCATACTCAACTCTAGCTGGCAGATTGCAAAGCAAGAAAAGAAATGGCATACTCAACTCTACCTGGCAGATTGCAAAGCAAGACAAGAAATGACAGTGTTTGATGAATTTCCCCAATTCCCTTTGATATTTACATGTGAAATGATGAGATCTCCATGGTATCCAGATAAATTAAATTTGGACTAATACAAACACAGACAAACTTAACCCTACCTGGTAACCAGTTCAAATATCGGAATGGACTGCCACTACTCCACTGCCATCCAGTGTTGAAACTCAGACTGTTAAGTCCAATCCAGAGTCCAGAAGTCAAGGAATTGGTTAATCCTATTTAACAAAAGCAAAAACAAAAATAAAACTTATATTCAGAAAAGAATAGGAAATCAAATTCAGGATTAAGTGCTTTGAATCAAAATATAGTTGAGAATGTAATAAAAACCATGCCTGACATTTCTCCTTTGATTCTCTTAACACCCTAAGGTACCTCCACTAGCAGATAAAGAAAATGAGGGTGATACTGATAAGCTAGTATGTGTATTGCTTAAGTACAAACCCAACTCTGACTAGGTGTCAGATCACTCATGTGGACTCCTAATTTGAATAAGACTGTGTTTAACAATCTTCAAATAATACATTTTCATTTCATCTTAGATTCAAAATAAAATTGATTTTACATAAGTCAAAGTTTTCTATCATGAAAATTTTGCTATTTCAATCACCCATCAGTTATTAGTCAATCTCATATTTCAGAACTTATTCTAAGAATTTCATTTTGTGATTGTTTAAATCAATTTCTCTTCTTAAAATGATTATATTCTAAATACTAAACATTTATGCTAATATGAACCACACTTTATTTAGAGGGTTAATTAATCACAATTGCAATGATTCAAAACTCTGTGTTAGGTTTCACATGGAATTACAAAACAAAACAGAATCAATTTGGACCTCAGCCTTCCCATGTCAAATACTCTTATTATTACTTGTACCCTTTTCAAAACCACAGATTCTCTGTTCATTCTACATTCTTTTTAGTTGATTAAAAATAGTTAATTAAAAAGAAAACTAATTTTTGACTTTAGTAAAATACAAGACTTAATTGTCTAGATATGCTGGTAAACTTTCAAAGACCAATTAATTTACAATTACTGTTTTCTGTAAGATTTACTCCCCGGTCAAATATTCTCAAAGGTGACAATGATAACTACTGTACGTGTTCACTGGGTCCTCAGAAACTGTAAACTAGGAATTATTATCTCCATTGTATAGGCTGGGAAACTGAAACGTAAAAAAAATTTAATGACAAGTGCAGTTAATAAATGAAATTGGAACCCAGGTTCTTACTACCAATGCCAAAACTCTATAGTTCTGATGAAACTAAATGAGTTATCGCATTTTTTCTCAATTTTTCTTTAGTTTATATATTCATGTTACAATTTCAAATTAGTGACTGGATGCCAAGACATCATAGCTCACAATGATTGCACCTTAGTTCCATAAAAGTGAGGATCACTTTCTTAGAGATCATGTGATCTGAATGGTGTACTCAAGTTATTCAGCATTTTGCAAGGAAGTATGTGCAAATGGAGAACTCACTTCCACAATGTTGATTACGCTGATATTGATTAGGTAGCTGATGCTTAATAAACTGAACTGAATTCAATGCTGGAGTAAACTGAACTGAATTCAATGCTGGAGTCTTTTCTGAGGAGTAAACCTATTGTGTGATTTCTTAAAAAGAAGTAATGACATAAAAATAGAATGAAATTAAATTCTGGCATGTAAAAATTAATTGATACAGAGTCACCTCTTCTTAAATCTAGCATTCTGAAAAAGTAGATGAGTTAGCTTAGCTCTTACCCTTTGGTACTTTATATACTTCAAGAGGTATTTTGTCCAATTCTTTCATTTTATAGATGAGGAAAGTTAAGAAATTATTGGAAAGGAAAGCAAAAGACCAGGATTGGATTCCAAGGATTCAAATTAATTTTTCTAGGAATTTAATCCTGTTTAAATTAGATTTGCTTGTGAGTTACTGTTAGGTTCCTTTTTTAGGTAAGTTTGAATTTTAGAGCACCTTTAAGGAAAAAACAATGAACTAGACAGATCTTTCTAATTCCTCCAATGCCATACTGTAGCCTTGTAGTACAAAGTCTGGGCATATGATACCTCCACTCCTTTTCTTCTTTTGTCAAGACTGCCTTGGCCATTGGCATCTTTTGTGGTTCCATATAAATTTCAGTAATGTGTACTCTATTTCTTCGAATAATTCCTTTGAAACTTTGGGAAAACAGAATCCATATATTTCCTGGGTAAGATGGACAGTCACTCTTTAAGGAAACTTATCCTTTGACATTCTTCAACCACTCTAGGTACTCTAGGCTTCTTCTTTTTTTTAAAAAAAAAAAAGATTTATTTATTTATGCATACAAGAGCTGGGGTACAGGCCAGAGGTGTGGGGGATGAGAGGATTCACCTGAGACAGAGTAGGAAGCAGAACAGGCAGACTGAAATACACTGCCGAGGGGAGCAGTGGGCGAGACAGGAGAGGTCTGCTGCGCCATGTGGGTAGTTCCCTGGCCAGGGATCGTACTTGTGCTGCAGTAGCTACAGATAGCTTTATAGTGAGGTGCTTAACCCCTTGCACTGCCAGGGAGGCCCCTAGGCTTCTTTTGAAAAATTAAATTGACATTTCTTAAAATAGGGCCCAACAAATGGAATATGCTCAATAAATGTAAACTATTATCATTGTTATTATTATTAATCCATGTTAAATTAGCGTTGACAAAAAATATGATTTAGATTAAAATTGAAACATTTTGTTAAATTGTGCTTAATCTAACACTTGCAGCAGATGAACATATCCACACATGTTCTCGTAGATGAACAAATCCACAAATGTTTTTTTCCGTAATGTTCCTTTGTAAATTTACAAAGAAACAGACCAAAACTTCTTAGTATTGCTGTACAAAGTATCAATTCCACATTCTATTTTAATGTCTCCATATGTATTAAATGAAATGGTTATGTACCTATTTTTGAATTTAGCTACAATAGGAGATGTATTAATGTCCAATATAACACTGGTATTTTTTTCTACATTGTTGTCCAATTTGTTTTCAAGGCAGACACTGGCAAAAAAAAAGAGAAAAGATCAGGAAAACAGGCCAAATTTCACTTCCTATATCTAATTTCAGTTCTGTAAATCCTAATCCTGAACATACATAGTTATAATTCAGGAATTGAGGATTAAATATTGTGTCCCACCATTTTTGAGGGTAGAAACAGAAGTGAAGATGATGAAATGGTTGTGGGCAATGTAAGAATGGGCTACTGGGCTGCAGAGAATGTAAAATCTCACTATCAGATCTCAGTAAATTTGCTGGAACAAGGAGCTGTTGATATCTAAGTGGAGGGTTCTGTTTAATGCTTTAGGGCTCACCAGATCCTTCCTCTTTTTGTGAGTGAGACCTGGACAGAGCGAAATGAAAAGACACTGCTGTTTCCAATTCAGTTATTTTCTGGACATGAGGCATTAGGCAAGTTTCCAGCTTCTCCCTCCTAGTCTGTTATCTCATCTATCTGTAAAGTGGGAAAAATAATATTGATTTAGGAGTTTGGAAAAAGCCCAGTGTCTGGCATAGCAGTTATTCAATAAATGACAGCTAATTTCATCTCAGGTCATAAAACAGGCTTACATATATTTTTTTAAATTATATTCACTCCTCAAATCTTCCAAAAGAAACCTTATTTTAAAAGTGTAACTATTTTAGGTTTTCTTTTTCATGTTAGTGGCATATTTCCCAAAATGGAGTAAATCCCAGTCTCCCACTCACATTATTATTTTCTACATTCTTCCCATATATATGTAATAATTATCTTCCTGCAAAAAAATTCTGATTTATTTTTCAAATCCCGTCAGATCTTTTTCTCCTACTGCATGATATTTTTGACTTAAAGGAAAGCAGGAAATACTACAAATTTCATTATAGAAGCCACTCTTATCCAGATTTCAGTTAGAATTTGCTGACTGCAATTCGAGGGGCTTGGCTAAGAGTCAAATAAGTATCCGAGGTGAACTCAGCCTTTGAATCTCTAGGGGCCTGTTTGCTCTCCTGAGGGACACAATAGCAGGGGCTGATTAGGAAAGCATTTCCTGCAGCCAGGAGTCTGACAGGCGCACAGGGCCGGAAATGAGCCTGGTGCTGGCAGAGCTTCTATGCTGCTCATCTCTATGTAAGTGGTGCAGAGAATGACAGAAACTGGTGCCCTGTCCCTGTACTTCCAGAAAGCCAGAAAAACAAGCAAAAATCAGAAGATCCTCTACAACATAATCCAAAAACAGATTTTTTTTTAAAAAGCAATGGAAATAATTGCTAACCTGCCAGAGTTATCTCTCACCCATGCAAGTGAACACAAATATACCAGGATTGCCCCAAATCACATTTTTTATTCCTTAATCATCTACATGAATTTTAATTTTGTCTCCTTCCAGGCTTTCTTCTCTTTATTTTTCTGCATGACTGTAAATATTAACCACTCTGATATTTTGTCCAAATATTAGAAAGGCTCCCAGACACCACACAAAGCAGAAAAATTGAGCAGATTGAAGTAAAATGCTGAACCCACCCCTGAGTTTATTAATGCACACAGTGAGGGCATATGGCATGACTTTTGTTAATCTTCTTAATAACAACTGAAAGAAAATGGTGAGTTGCTGCTTAAACTACATGGAGAACATTAATATGTGTTAAACTTTATGATGAACTGATTCAAAGTATTTCTTTTTTTATTTTTAAGGTTTTTTGTTTGTTTGTTTGTTTTTTATACAAGAGCCAGGGCACAGGCCAGATGTGCGGGAGGGTGAGAGGATCCACCAGAGACAGAGCAGGGAACAGAACAGGCAGACTGATGAAATACACTGCTGAGGGGAGCAGCGGGCGAGACAGGAGAGGTCTGTTTGCCATGTGGGTTGCTCCAAGGCCAGAGGGGATCGAACCGCCACTGCAGAGGCTGTGGACAGCTTCACAATGCGGTGCTCAACCACCTGCGCCACCAGGGAGGCCCTGATTCAAAGTATTTCATTGCAGTGGTCAGTTCATGGTTAGCTCTAAAAAGGTACTTGGAGTAGAAATATGCTTCTTACTCAGTTACATTGTGGGCATTTCACCAGGTTGTGCTAAATGAATGCATGCACCTTTTTGTCCACCAAAATTAGACTGTAATAAACATCTTCAAATTCAATTTTAATAGTACTAATATCAATAGTAACTAATAGGAAAAATGTGATCCAGAACAAATATTTAGAAACACAAATATGTTGCAGGAAGGGTATTATTAAAACCGTAAAGTCAGTGCAGTCTGGGAGATAGAGAGACAAGAGACAAAAAGGACTGAGTTTCATAGCACTTGTCCCTGGTCATGATAGCAATTTTTTACTTATCACCTTGAACTTTGTTATGCTAATGGAAGATTGTTGGCTTCACCCTAGACCTGGAACATTTTACCAGCATGATAACCAGCCTTGTGTTCATGAACAACGTCATCCATTGATTGTGGCATCTTCCATTTTGAGCCCAGATTATCCTCAGAATCCTTCTCAACACAATTTCTAGAGATTGTCTCAAGTGATAGGACAAATTTGGTTCATCAAATGAAACCTATTTGCCATCCTGGGGGGGTGCATTTTTCACATATGAATTTGTCATGTCCTCTGCACCATCTATTATCTGTTGTAATGTCTGCATCACTTGTGCTGTTCACTTTTAAGTTAAACTGTATGGAAATTAAATAACCATGATATTACTTACAACTTTGCTTTCTTTTCATGACATTACCTGTCAGGTATGTTTGCTCATGTATCTCTGTGATGCTCAAGAGGTCGGCGTTCTGTTGCTGGCAGCTCTTCCTCGCCTGGTGCCAAGTTAAAGCAGATTTGGAGTTTATCTGGTAGGAAATGCTTGTCAATGGGTCTTTATTCCATAAGCTTTCACTGCCCTCAACTGTAAATGAAGTCAAATGAAATGGGCTACATCATGAATAGAAAAGACTTTCAGTGAACAATATTTTTAAGAGTTCTAGCAGCATTGTTGCCTGAAGCATTATATTCTTTTCCTTCCTTTTATTTTTAAAATGCCTGTGAGATTTTCTTCACTCTTGAAATGAAGGGGAAGTTATCAAAAGATTAACAGCATCCAATGTATTTCATGTGCCTAGGAAGTAAAGAGAGGCATCATCTCCCTATATTTGAGATCAGATGGATTGAGAAGTGTGGTAAGTACAAAGACTAAATAAGATTAGAGATACCAGCTCAGCTCCCTTAACCTAAAGACAAAAAAGTGAGAAAAAATATATATAGGTTATCCCAGGAAGTAGATCCTTTACCTGCACATTCTAGTTTTAGACCAAAGACAACAGGCATCAGAAAGAAAGGTCATAGACTCTGCAGGCAGGTTATTCTGGACCTGCATTCAAGCACTGTCACCCACCAATCAAACTGTTATCCAGCAGTCTCATTTTCTCATATCTAGAATAAAGTAAACATAGGTAGCTTTTGGCAATTAGCTTTTTTTCATCAGAGTTAGAAATCATTATTTTGGTTCCTCTTTTTTTTTTAAAGATTTATTTATTTATGCATACAAGAGCTGGGGTATAAGCCAGAGATGCAGGGGGTGAGAGGATTCACCAGAGACAGAGTGGGGAACAGAACAGGCAGACTGACGGAAATACACTGCTGAGGGGAGTGGTGGGAGAGACAGGAGAGGTCTCCTGCGCCATGTGGGTTGGTCCCTGGCAGGCCTGGGATTGAATTCGTGCTGCAGAGGCTGTGGATTGCTTCATAGAGCGGTGCTTAACCTCTTGAACCACCAGGGAGGCCTGGTTCCTCTTTTCCTTTGTTATTTTATAATTGCCCCTGTACTCTATAAACTTGGGTATACCCTATGAAAAACCAATAATCTTAAGGAATATATAGTACTTTATAGCCTGTTAAATATGTTTGGGAAATTAGTAGAAAAATGAAGTACTTTTGCCTGTTCAATGCTATGAAATTTTCTCTTTTGTCTTTTGAATATAAAATTATTTTTATAAGTTACATGAAGTAATAATCCTTGCATTTATTTTTAAGGAACAGAGAAAGAATCATGTAACTTGTCAAATTTTCTGAGAAGAATTTTGGCAGTTTTCCAAACCATATAACCCAAATTGTCATGATTCTTTGTATCTGATGAGGAATCAAATGTTTCATATGTATATCACACACTGTAATATAAAACTTCAGTCCCATGGGCACACCCAACGGGGCGGGGGGCAGGGGGAAATATATCCAAATCTCTTCTAGGAAGAGCATAGAAATCTGTGTGGTTTTAACTATAAAGTCATTATATATTTATATAAAATATATTTGAGTTAATAATACTGAATTTTGATAATCACAATGAGATCTTACTAATTTAGTGATCAATTAAATGAGACAATTTGAGAGGGATAGGTTTTAAAAAATATATTTAGAAATATAGAGTTTTGATTACAATATGGCAGAAAGTATGATACATTTTTTTAAAGGAGGGGTTATTTTCTTATCTAGAAATGGAGGAAAGGGATATATACAAATAAAGAGAAGATACAAACTGAATCTTAAGGAAAGTGGGTTTTGCATTTTAAATCAAGGAATTTAAACCTATTTCTCAATGAATGTATATAGGTTTGCTGACTATTTGTCTCCCCCAAATTGTTCAAATTCCCACAGTAAACCAGCAAAACTGATGTGGAAAGTTAAAGTTGCAAGCTATGGAGCATTGAAAGAGGTCTTTTCCTTTTCCTGTTCTCAAGATACTTGAAAATAATTGTCTAAACAAAAGGAAAACATTACAACAAAGAATGTAAAGGACAATGAGGAGAATATATTGTGTCATTAGGTCCATAACTGGCATTTCATCTTCCTGTATTGAATCTGCTAGTTTAAAGTTAATGTAAAATAAAATGTCCTCTTGAAAGGAATACAAAGAAAGGGAAATGAAATAGATTGGGAGACTGAAAAGTCCTTTAAGAAAAGTATGAAATGTATAAAATGTACTTTAAATTTTGAACATATACTGAAACAAAACAATGTTTTTATAGCTGTTTTACTTTCACATTTAATAGTCAAAAATCTATAAATTGGTTTTGAAGACATAAATTAAAAGTAACAATAGAAAAAGAATTATTCTAGAATATAGTCAAGATTCCCTTCCAACACATATCTGTCCGACATTGTAAGTTTGCTTTGTATTTAGAGACTGGCCATTTGTCCCCATTTAATGATTCATTAACCATGCATCTAGCCAACAATTCGCTTGTCAATAGCACTTAGGTACAAGGTGCTAGAACTGGACCCATGATATCCAAGCCCCTAAGAAACAGGTTTAAAAAATACCATTCCTACTAAACAAAGGAGAAACATTCTCTTCAATCACTACAAAACATTAATCATTTTCATTTAGGGGAAAAAAAATAGTTCAATTTTCTCTTCAAACGAAAAACTTCCAATACAGAGATCAAACATCTATAAACCTTTCATGGGACTCAAATCTTTAAAAGTTTGTATAAGAGAGGTGAATCCATTGATCTCAACTCTGAACAAAAAGCCTGTGAGTGTCCATGGGTAGTCACTAGAATGAGAATGCACACAGAAGAGTGTCACAATATATAGGGCTGAGAAATCAAATTCATTTTTAGTGGGATATTTTTAGTGATTATAAATCAAAAGAGATATTTTGAAAAGCATGGCTCCTGGAACTCTGATTTTTAACTTGACATAATAAAAATTTTTGTGAGTCATTCTGTTTTACAATAATTCTCCAAGTAATGTGATTGTGGGTGGATGTGAGCTCTCAGAAGTTGAGCTGTAAGCAATGCTGTTGCAATTCACATGGCCTTACACGGGCACAGACTATATCTGATGCTCTCCTCTGCACCCAGCTGTGTGCAGGACGGGAGCAGTCGTAGAAAAAGTTGCTGGTAATAGAAGAAAGCAAGAGCTACTCTGCTCCATCACATCTCTAAGAGTAAGAGGTCAAGGATTGTTCAGACTGTCCCCACCCCCCAATGTTGGTGCTCTCTTTCCTGCCACCGCCCACCCAGAAACTGCTGTACTCTTTATAGATTCCTTTTTTTTAAAAAAAAAAAGTTATTTTTACATAAAAGAACTGGGGTACAGACCAGAGGTGTGGGGGGTGAGAGGATTCATTAGAGACAGAGTCGGAAGCAGAACAGAGAGATCTACTGAAATACACTGCTGAGGGGAGCAGAGGGCAAGTCAGGAGAGGTCTGCTGCCCCATGTGGGTTGCTCCCTGGCTGGGGATCAAACTCGGAACTGCAATAGCTGGCAATAGCTTGATAAGTTTATCTTTAACTCCTGTGCCACCAGGGAGGCCCTCTTTATAGATTCTTGAGTGTGGAAAGAGCATCAAGAACTCATGTTCTACTTCTTACCACCAATATAATCCAATGTTACTAATTTTATATTACTGCTATCATACTTAAAACTTTATTTCCAAAACATGTCACACATAAAAATAACCCACTTTAATTGAGTTGTGTTAAACTGTGTTAAACGATACTCTTCTTAAGTTGAATTAGAGTATCATTACTATCATTTTCTCTGTGAGAGACCCTTTTCAAGACCTTGACACAAAATTCAGACTGCCACTCAAATCTCTCTCTCCATCAAGCAACATGTTTGTGGTATTGTTTAAATTTAAATTCTGTTCTTGATCTATAGTCTAATAAGGTACATCACTGGGAATCTGGGGATGGCATGCCTTCATCTGTGAAGTCTGTGTTGAAACATACATAGTATAGCATAATATTACTTGCCCTGAAGTCTTAGAAATAATAAAACCAATTTAAAATAACCAATAAAGTGGAAGTAGAAGAAAAGAAGTAATAAGTGAGGGCCTCCCTGGTGGCCTGGGTTTTAAGTCTCAGTGCTATCAATGCTACAGCCCAGCCACGGAGCTAAGCCTCAACATATGGCACAGCAGACCTCTCCTGTCTCGCCCACTGTTCCCCTCAGCAGTGTATTTCAGTAAATCCACCTGTTCTGCTTCCCATTCTGTCTCTGGTGAATCCTCTCACTCCCACACCTCTGGTCTGCACCCCAGTTTTATGCAAAAAAAAATTTTTTTTAAAGAAATAATTGGTGAAAATAAAGGGGTTATTTGATGCAGCTAAGGCTGAGAGTAGACTCTGCATTCCAGTTTTCAGTCAACTTGAATCACTTTCTTGGTTATAAAATAGAAAAAAATGATGTCTATGAAAGATTGTGGTGGAGTATAATAGGAGAGTGAATGTGAACCCACTTTGAGGATAAAATGTGCTAGATAAATGCAAGGTTCTTATCATTATGTTGCCACAGTAAATGTGCCAAACGTTTCTTGATGGTAATATTACTTACATTTCAATGGACAAAATCCAAATAGTTTATCCGTGTCATAATCTGTAGTGGTTCCACACCAAAGCCAGCCATCTGATCTCCCAGCACTCGTGCAATCTGCATACCATTTATTTTCAAACTTGAATGGAAATGCACAGGTTGCTCCGTTTGCATTACCCAGCAATGTATACATGGCTAGAAGAAAAATATTGCCTTTCACTTAGAATGAGAGTGGTGCATCTCAACATACACTTTCTAGTAGGAAACATGCAACAAGAATGGGTCTGACTTTTCTGATCACATTGGTGTCCCCACACTGGGGATTCCTCTTTTCCCTTGTGCCCAGAACTCATCTTTTACTAAACACAAACAATCCATACTTAAAATTAACTCCAGTACCATTTTATTTTGCTTGTCTTTTGGAACAGATGTTCCTCATTCCTCTTTTAAGGCACAAGTAGTCAGCTCTGTTGGCACCAGCTTTGACTTCTGCATGTTTTTCCCAAAACAGGGAAGAGGTCATCCTTCCTCTTGGTTGAAATCACAGAATTATTGAAAATCTAAGTTGAAAATTACCTTATAGCTACTATATAACTCATATAAAACTCAAACTTAATATTTTAATCCTTTGCAAATACTTCCTGCCAAGCAACCTCCATAGGAATCCCTCAAAAATGGCTATGAGGAAGGACAGGAATTTTGGCACAACTCTCTAATCTAAAAGACCACTATACACCATCTACAACCAATATCAGTTGCTTGTTTTTTTTTTTAAGTGAATTCAAACAGAACAAAATAGCAAGATCTGTGTTCACTTAGAAAGGAAATTTGGAACAAATATAGAATCATTGTTGGCTATGGTTGACCTTAAGCTCAAACCATGAGGGAAGCAGCTACATCCACTGACCACAAAGCCCTCACCTGGCTAGATCCTCCATTTAAAGACTCTACCTGTGGGGCCTCCCCGGTGGTGCAGCAGGTTGAGTGCAGCACTGTGAAGCTGTCCGCAGGCACTGTAGCGTGGGTTCGATTTCCCAGCCAGCCAGGGAGCTACCGACATGGCGCAGCAGACCTCTCCTGTCTCAGCAGTGTATTTCAGGAAGTCTGCCTGTTCTGCTCCCCACTCTGTCTCTGGTGAATTCTCTCACCCTCCTGTGCCTCTGGCTTGTACCCCAGTTCTTGTATAAATAAATAAATCTTTAAAAAAAAGACTCTACCTTTGCACAAAACCTCTCTTTGAGAGTTAATAACCATCTACATAGAAATATTTAGCCTGTTGCCACCAGATGATATTCAGAATTTTCCAAGGTAGGAATTCTCTTTTAAGTTTTTCAATTCTATGACTGTAAAAAAAGTTCTTAAAAGACATTTCATCTATTAGATAATACACAATTTATAAAATATATAGCACAGTGCCTAACATGTAATTAAAAGCACATAACTATAAGCCTCTTATTCTCTTTTCATTGCACATATCCAGTCCTCCTGAAAAGCTAGGTTTATTTTTTAATTAATTAATTTTTTAAGATTTTTATTTATTTATTTACACAAGCACTGGGTACAGTCAGAAGCGTGGGATGGTGAGAGCCAGAGCAGGGAACAAAACAGGCAGACTGACAAAATACACTGCTGAGGGGAGCAGCGGGCACAGGAGAGGTCTGTGTGCCATGTGGGACCCTCACCGACAGCCTGGGATCAAACCGACTCTGCAGAAGTTGCAGGCAACTTCGCAGCCCAGCGCTCAACCACTGCACCACCAGGAGAGGCCCAAAAGCTAGGTTTACTTTCAAAACAAAATTATAAAATAATAAATAATAAAATTAAAAATAATGAAATTATTTTAAAAATAATTTTGTTAGCTAATTCGCTGGCTGCTAACTTAAAAATTCTAGTTTTGGTTCCACTCAGTTCCAGAACCAGCCTCTCAAGTCATATGTTGTATAAGACACATTCTGGATTCAGAAATAATTGTGCCACTTTTAATCATAGGGGTTCCCGTTCCTTCATCTGAAGAAAACTTACTAGGTTTACCTCAAGTCTAGTTGTACTGTTCAGTAAGTTAGCCAAGGAATGCTCAGCACTGAATTTACAGACGCCAAGCAGAAATAGCTCTTTAAACACTAACTTAATTTATTTAATGAAGCATGGATAAAGCCAAAGAAATAAGCTCCATTCCAGGCACCTTACTGACAAATCATGTACTGCAGTCAATTTACTCTTCAAGTGGTGCAACCTTACTTCTAGTAGAAATATCTTAATATTGGAAGACAGTTGAAGACTATGCCAAGGATGGTTAATGGGCCATCTGCATCTAACCACCCAGGTGTTTATAAAAATAGTCAGTAGAGTCCTAGCCCTTCCCCTGATAAACTAAGTCAGAATCTGGGTAGGAGAAGGGCTGTGGCATCTCCATGTTTAACAGGTTTTCCAGGAGATTTTTAACCATATTGAAGTTTGAGAACCATCATCCAAAACTCTATGCATATTTTTCTTAAAACAAACAGAACAAAGAGAAATCGATGTGGAAGTCAACAAAACTTCAGCGACGTGTTTAAAATAAAACAAGAAGTCTATTGTCTAAGCATCAATCTTCTTTGCAATGAATTACTCAATTGGGACTATTGCCCCATCTATGGAATTTGCTTCATCAAGTTTAGTTCACCCTTGTTCTACCCTATAATTTTCTACCAAGATTTTTTCTGAAATGTTGTCTCTAAGTCTATGCTATGCTAAATAAATGCCTTGAGATAACTTATTTCTGAACCCTCCATACTCTTCCTCAGTTCTTGTTCTCTCTCCCTGTTAATACAGAAGGACAAATTACCACCTTATTAAGAGCTAAACTCTTATGTGCTGCTTACCTGACATATACTAGGATTAACCAATCTTTGAGGCCTCAATAAGATAGTAATTTTGGAAACAGGTAATTGCTTGTCCCAGAAGGCAAGCTCTGTCTCTGACCCTGAGGTCCTTCTAGATAAAACCTCACAATAATTAAGTGCCCAGGTCTGGAATGTGGTTGTAGTACCATCTGACTCAAGAAACCTTTGAAAAAGGCATCATGTTCTTCTTTATTTTTGTTTCATCTTTTTCTGTACAGTCTCCAGAGAATGAAACTTGATCAAGGTAAAGGAAGATGACTCTGATTTTATTTAACCTTCAAAAAAAAAAAGAATTAACTACATATAAAAGTATTTCCTGCCCCATAGGTGCTATGACTTTCCATGATACCTCACTAAATATACTGCATGTTAATTCACAAACTAATTACTTATCTAAATTTCTGATAATTGTGGTCCCAAAATGTTCATGCAATGACAAAATGAATCAGGAACATTTAGAAATCCAACTATCATGTACTGTCAAAACTTTAAGCATTCGAGTTGGTAAAGAATATTGTTCCATGGATCATTTCTCCAGGGATAATTTAAGTCAAAGGAAAAGAAACATTTGGTTTAATACACATCACTATAATAATTTAACATTAAATGGGAGACTTTGGGTCAAAGGCTACAGTGTAAATTAATTTCTAAAAATTGTAACCCACAGTTACATTTATTCACTGACATTTCACATAGAACAAAGAATAGGTCAAACCACAAAGGTAATCAATTAATATTTCTACTACAGAATAAGTGAGAATGTTGGAGGTAGGGAGAGAGCAAGATGGACTAGAGTGGAAGACTATGGAGGAGGACTATGAGAGAGTTACTGTAACCACACCAGAGGGGAGAAATCCTATATTGCCAAAAAATCAATAAAGATGTAAAACAATGGTATGCCATTAACTTAAAAAAATAATAAAGTAATAGTGTGTTTATTTTCTTAATTTCCAAGCAAGAAGATGAGGAAATTTGGAAAGAAAGGTAAAAATTTCAATGCTTCTTACCTTCATAACCTCTGGAGCATAAATCATCTGTGGTTCCATAGATCTTCCATCTGCTCCACAAACCCGACCCCTTGTAAAGCATGATATTCTTTTCTTGTTTATTGCCATAGTTAAAAAATAAATCTTCTCCCTTGATTCCCAAAAGTGTGTCATTTTTGCACTCCCATTTCTGAAATTCACTCTTTGAGTCACAGGCATATAGCGTGACAGCAACCCAATCGCTTTTTGACGGCACTCCCAAGCACAATTTAAATTTAACACTCATAATCTGGAATTCAGAGACCCATCGGAATTTCTGGGCTTCATTATCTTGATTGCAAGCTGCAGTTTGGACTGCACTGGGACTTAATGCTTCCACACAGCGCTTGTGATCTTCATTATATATTAAAAATTGACTGGTGTCTGTTAAAGAAAAAAAGAAAGAAAGGCTATTGAAGTTGATACATGTGGCAAGACAGTATTTTAGGTCAAAAGTTTCCAATGTTTCCATTTCCCTAAAGACTTACAATCCTAGGTAAAGGAATGAAGCTAACTCTGCCTATGTCAATGTAGTTCTTGTCAAGGGATACCTGAAGTTAAAGAGAGAATCCACCCCGGGTTAAGGGGATTCTTCTGGGAGCACATGGGTACTGACAATCAACTGGAAATCTTTAAGATGTCTTAGTTCATCATGAGGCACTTAATGAAAATGCCTGCCTTAAATGCACATGAATTGTACTGGAGGACACATAATAGGTAGAAGCAGAGAAAGAAATAATAGCCATCTGAGAAAAGAAAATTTGGCTATAAATGCAATAATCTCTAAAATTAAATATAGTATATCCTAGAATAAAATTTTCAAGTCTAACACAACCTACTGTCTCTGAAATAAATAAAATCTACATTTCATTATCTTAATTATAACAAGAGTTCTTGATTTAAAGGATAATTTTATCTTAGGAATTTTTATGTCTAGCAAATTTTTTAACCTACTGTTATGGAGGTAGCCCAAGTCTATGCAATGAGAAGTTTTTTGTTTTGGTTTCCCTTCCAACAACAGACAACTTAAGATCTAGCATCTAGAGGTACATTAATATCTGTTATATAATGTTAACTTTCATTTCATTGACATAATCTAAACTTTGCATTACAAAAATGATCAGTTACAGTTCCAGTAGAGGTGAAATAAATTTAAGTTCTTATAATTTGAAGTAATATATATTAAAATAACCTTATAAATAAGTGCTTATAACACTTGCAATTTGGGTCTGGTGATTTAAATGAGTGTGTATAAATGGTTTACATAAATTGCATATAGCTGCTAGCTGGCAAAATTGACTTCCTCTTGTCAAAAAAAAAAAAAAGAAAGAAAAAAGGATCTGGTAAGCATATTTTCTCCCCCAAATCAAAACTGAATTCATGTAAAGGTTTTTTTTTTTTTTGCACCTTTTTTTTAAGACTAGACAAATAGAAATAATTGTTTTAATTTTTTAACAAATATAAATTAAATACTTCTTGTGGAGTTTTGCTAAATTCTTTCCACTTAAGTGGTTCTTTCAAAATGAGCCGGTAGTAGTAGAGATATTTGAGGATCTGACTAAATTAACTCATTATTTTCACAAATCATCCCAATGAAATAAAGCAATAATAGTACCACTCACAGGGTCCTTCATGAGCCAACTTCTGTTTACTGTCCTTAACACCCCTATAGGCTTAGCACCATGGAAACTCTGAGATCATTGCTTGGACCAACTTAGAACTTATAATGGAACTTGATCTCAAAAGATATTCTCCCGCCAGGCTCCTGCATCTGCTCTTGCCCCAAAATTGTTTCGCGCTTTCCTGCCTTTATCCTGCTTGGGTTCCTAACTCATTGCTTTGAGCCTCTGCCTTGTTCCCTCACTGGGTTCCTCTTTCCTGCTGGTCTGACTTCTGGAAATCAGAGCTCAACAGAACAACAGCTTCTGCTGGCCTCTCTGGAGTTGACATCAGTCAACTAAACACATCACACATGACTGAATTTTCTCCCATTTAGCAAAACTCTTTCTCAGACTTGGTCTCATTTTGTTGCTGCTCATTTCCTGGTGTGACAAAATGAGTAAGTTTATGCACTGGCAATAAAATTAAAATTTTAAAAACATGGCGTTTTGTTCCCAAAGAAACACAGAAAATAAGAACATTTTGCTAGATACTCACTATGACAGTTCACCATACACAAATGTACATGTAGGCTCTTCTAATCGAAGAAGGATAATGAACTCAACATAAATGCCTTTCACTTGTAATTTGTGCCTGCTGCTTCCCCTCTTGTTTTCCTACCAAATTTAATCTTTCACTTTCACATAGGTTCATCCAGTAGCATCTCATTGTTAATAAGAAATATATTTTACATCTCATACTTCTACCATCTGGTTGTATTGTCTAGCAGCAAACACTAATGAATTGCCCAAGTTCAGTCAACCACTCAAATTGTATTGAAGATTTATACATTCAGTAATTCTCTTTGAGAGGTCTTTATACTGATTAGACTTTTATCAAATACTGTATTTTCATCTATAGTTCCCTCTTAATTCTATTCTAAAGGTAATGGTATTTAATAAGTAAATATCCAACTTCTCTTTCTCATGCCACACCATCCACCAAGATACACAAGCCAAAAACTCAGAGGAGTCATCCCAGAGTCCCAGATTTCCTTCATTTTCTAGGACTAAAGCAGAACTAATAGGCTTTTCCTGAAAATATACACTGTGATGTTTAATTTTATCTATCAACCTGGCTAGTTCATGGTACACAGACATTTGGTCAAACACCAGTCAGAATATTATTGTGAAGGGTTTTTTTTTTTTTTTAAATAGAGGCATGTTTTATTTATTTATTTGTTTGTTTTGTTTTGTTTATACATGCACTGGGTACAGTCAGAAGCGCGGGAGGGTGAGAGAATTCACCAGAGCCAGAGTGGGAAGCAGAGCAGGCAGAAGGACTGAAGCACACTGCTGAGGGGAGCAGCGGGCAGCAGGAGAGGTCTGCGCGCCATGTGGGACCCTCCTCTGGTGGCCGGGGAGCAGCCAGGGATCGAACTGGCGCCGCAGAGGCCGCGGGCAGCTTCGCAACCCAGCGCTCAACCGCTGCGCCACAGGGGAGGCCCATTATTGTGAAGGTTTTTTTGGGTTTTTTTAAAGATGAGATTAACATTTAAATCAGGAGACTTTGAGTAAAGCAGATTGCCCAAAATGTAGGAGGCCTTCATCCAGTCATTTGAAGGCCTTCAGAAAAAACAGAATGAAATCCTTTCTGGAAGAGAGAATTTAATATCTAAACTACACTATACTATCAACTCTTTCCAGGATTTCCTGCCTGCCAACTTACCCCTGATGACTTGAACTGGCTAGTTCCACAAATGCATAAGCCAGTTCCTTAAAATATATCTTTCTATAGGTAGACAGACAAGCAGATAGATAGACACAGAAATACGGACACACACAAACCCAGCATCCGTTCTGTTGGTCTGGAGAACACTAATACCCTAATCATTCTTTCCATCTCCACTACATCCACCCTGGACTAAGCAACCATCGTGTTGTTCTGGCCTTCCTCTCTTTGACATAAAATCATCCACAAAAAATGCATTATTTCCCACTTTCCTGGGTGAGATGGGCCTAACTTGTCAACCTGACTCCAAATTGCAAGATCTCCCTAATGTAATGAATTGTTTCTGCTTAGCTATATAAACAAGCTATATAAACAATTGTAATTCTTTAGGGGATTATGATGGGCATCATATTGTTTGAGTGCTTATTCAGTAGTAAAATCATTTTATTTTTCTTCTCTCTTTTTGTAGAAGTTCCCTAAGTTGGGGGGAGATTTTGGTTATTTACTCTATTTTCCCCCAAATTTAAACCTTTCAACAGCGTGCCACTGCACACAGGAAGTGGACCATGTAGCCACCAGGTGACACTCCCTGAAGGGGTATAGCCCAGACCGCTACCCTTTGCCCTCACCTTCGCACGGACACGCTCTCACTTACCACATCTAGTCACAGGCCTTTCTGTTCCTCAAACACTTCAAGCTAATTTCCTTCTTAGAAACTTGATATTTCAAGTTCCCATTTTTTAGGATGCTCATTCAGGTTCCACCTCAGATGTCAATGCCTTAGCAAATTAATATTCTAATTTTATTCTTAGTATTTTCTACATAAAATACATCTCCAGTTTTACATAGATATGTTTTTAAAATCTGTTTACTAATGGTTTGTCTGTGTCCCTCTACTTGAATATAAATTTCATGAGAAACTATCATTTTGATTCTGTACTACATTCTCTCTTTAAGAGTCATAATAGTCTCTTGATGAGTATTAATCAAATAAATGAAAGAATATTTATTAGAGCTGACTTAATCAGGCACCCAAATACTCTATTTTATTTCATGATTGATTCATGATTAGTCTATTTAATTTATTTTCCCCATAAAAGTTTATTTTTACCAAAGAGCAATTTATAAATATATACACTCATAAAAGAAGTATTTGGAAATGAATAGCTTCTATTTCAATACAAAATTACCTATTCTTGTTTCCTTTGTTTATCTTTGACATTGGGAAGCAGTGCAAATTTGATATTGCCTTTGCCAAACAATACAAGGAAATGTAAAATTATCACTTTACAGTCCCACATTCATGTTATTCTTCTCCCCACATAGTTTTGCTTTTATCATTGTCCCTGTGCAATGTCCTTGACTTAAAATGTCACTTCCGCTGAAAGTGCTTCAAGGCTTTAACCAAAAGTCACCTTGTGGGTATTTCTTATTACTAATCACACTAATGTTTTAAATATATTAATATTCAAAATTTTTGATCTATATTAATTACATTATTGTAACAGAAATATTGCAAAGCTGAACAAGGAAGAACAGTTGGAGAAGAACATTTCTCCGTCATTTCATTTAAGGGGTTAAATGTATGCTTCCTTTTTGTTATAGTTGTTAATACACATTAGAAATTTATTTACAGTATTGAAGAGACCCTCCTTCCAGTGTAAATTCATCTTTCTAATCTCACATTTATTTTTTAACAAATATTTGGTGAACAGCAGCTGTGTGCCATGGCAAACAGCCACCACGATAGTGACAACACAAAGACACACCAGAAACACACTGTGATTTTAAACTGTGCTGTGGTTAATTCACAGGAAGAAATGTTAAAGGTCAAAATATATTTAGGAAAGAAGTCACAAATTTCAACCATATATACCTTGGGTTTAATATTCAATAACATAGGCATGCATTTTAAAGCAATTTTTAAGTTTTGAATGAGCCCATCACAATGAGCATGTAATTAAATTCCCAAGCTTACCAGCAAAGAAAATTAATTATTAAAGGTGACTATAGAGACATTGACCATTAAATGCTTTCATTTTATACAATTTTAG